TGACAACTTTTGATTCAAAGTCCTGTTTTGAAGTGTTTTTTTTGGTCAATGTCTTAGTTGTAAAATATCTTTGTACCAGACCAGTTATCTGTATTTCTTCCATGCCCGAAGTGGGGCTGTTTGAGAAATAAAATGAACCTTTCAAACCTTTCAAACCTAGACGAGTGTTCGGAAAATTTGAAGAAGTTTGCAATCAATATTCCATAAATCTTCGGCCGGCTGGCAGAAGGGCATTAGGGTGCGAGCGACACAAAAACTACTTGTCGAAATTATTCACACTTAAAGATTTGTTTCATATTTAAACTCCTTTTCGTCCCGAAAGTTGGTTTAAAACTTAAATGACTAATAGAAATGTTATAGTAGAACACGGCCTCAATATTTTCTGGTAATAAGTCAGTTTTATAAAAGTATGAGGCGATTTAGTGCCCTTCTGCCAGCCAGGCGACGAAATTTTCTACGACTCAAGTTGGACAATATTATAAAGAACTTGATGGCTCAGTGGTAGAGCAGTGGTCTTGTGACTGGAAATTCCCGCGTTTGAAACCAAGTACATGTAGTTGCACTAGTCTAGTGCCCTTTGGTAGGGCATTAACCCTCATTACCAAGTAAGTCCCTAGGAGAGGACTTAAAGCCGTCAGACCCCTCGTTGCTTACATATGCCGAGGCATATTACCTATGTATGCTTTGAATGTTTTCTTAGCATTCAGGTAAAACAAACCATCGAAGTGATCGAACGATCAAACAAAAGGACAAATATACATGATGGTAATAGTGCTATTTGATGAATATTTTTTGTTAAATCTGAAGGCAAAAGAGAAGGCACCAACCCACTGTTCCCCCATCATATCCATGTTTGTTGCTTAATCATATTGGAATTTTTTTTTTTTTTTTTTTTTTTTTTTTTTTTACTTATTAATGATTTAATTCATCCATGTGTTTTTTTACCTTGTTATATTTTTTGTTATGCATTTTATATTGTTAACTGACTTGTTTAGTCTTCGGACTTTTTAATCAGTACTTGAATAAAACCAAATATCTATCTATCTATCTAATTGCGTAGGTTGACTTCTGAAAGCAGGTTGAGATGCCTCTAGAGTTTAGAGTCTAGAGTAGACGCTATAGAGTACCGAAGCTGTGACGTCATAAATATCTATTTTTAGAATTTCTCATTTTTTTCTTCATTTTCCGAAAGAGCATCATAAATAATGTCCAAATGTCAAAAACCAATTTATTATGTTGAGTATTGGCTGAGATATGACCATCTGAATAAATATATGCCCTATAGGAACTCAGTGTTTTATGCTCTGGTTCCTATTCGGACATTATTTTTGATGCTCTTTCAGAAAATGAAGAAAAAAATTGAGAAATTCTAAAAATAGATTTTTGATGACCTCATACTTCACCACTCTATCCAGATCTTGGTTTATCATTATAAAAGGTACATCGGTTATTCCATAAAATTGGGACAAAAAAATATGATATTGTCCATGGAACGTAGGTATGAGATCTTCTACTACACATGATTCCAAGACCACTTGTTTCACAGACCCCATGACGTCATTGATTTTGGAGTGCACTTCTGCCTCCTCAGTGGCACTCTAGATCAGCCTATATCGAAACTGCTTGTGATATATCAAATATACAGGTCGTACATCTGAAGTAAGTGTAGGTAATATATGATCATGATCAAACGACAATAATAATAATAATTATATTTGCCTATATAGCGCTTAACATTTACTTTATCAGAAGTCTCTAAGCGCTTTACAATAATGCAGCATGGCTTTAGCAGTGCAGCTGTTACGCGCGCTGCGTTTCAAGGAATAAATTCCTACCAGGAATAGTCATAATATATGTGCTGCAACTTGTGGTAGCTGTCTAATCACCATTAAAGCAACTGTACCAAATATTTCTTCAATGAGTGACAACAAAAGAAAAGAACAGGGACCAGTATATTGCACTGTGGTATTACATTTTCATGCTGCATGTATAACCTCTGATAGTTTTATGGCTGATCTATTGCAATCTACCCTGATGATTCTCCCTAATTCCATGGCCTTAATCTTAGTTGTGTTGAACCTTGGAACAGGGTTAGCAGATTGGACCACACGTTGCACCATGTTTGCTGAAGATATGGCCCTCGGCGGCTGTAACTGAACGAGTCTACATGTACATTGTACATGAATTTGTCATCAAGCTTGGATCATGGGAAGTTCTATTACTTTATTGCCTTCTTTTGGATATTAATGATGAGTACCAGCAAAGTAGTACTAAGCATACTATTCTTTCTATTCTCCCGCCCACACTCGTATCCCATTTCCCCATATTAAATGTGCACAAATGTTGCAGTGTATTTCTCACTTATAAAAGTACAGGTAGTACCTTGCACTAATGATATCTGAATTTTGAAGGACAATTGATACAGTCATAGTGAACATATACATGCACATGATAAACTGAACAAATGCATGTTGTTTGGTTATGTAATACACCTGTATCCCAGTTTATTCCAGAATTGGTGGTTTACACCCAGTAATAAAGAATTGTTATTGAAAACTTAATGAAAAGCCTGGTTGATTTTCAAGGTCAGAATCAAACTACAGTTAACTCTCCTTAACTTGAAATTGCATAAGTCGAATTACTTTACTACAATTAAATTTGCTTATTCAAAATATTACTTGACCAAATTTTGTTTTATTACGATTCAGCAATCATTGTTTAAACGATTGTCTATGAAAGATGATTTCATTGCTGCCATAGTTTTAGAGACATGATAATTTTTATTTGGTAATGGAATGATTTCATCATTTTTTTCCAATCCATATTTTTAATTTTGATGTGCTTGCGAAATATCAAAACCTTTTGTACACTTACCAAGTTTTGTTATTTTTAAGTACCCGTATATGAAGAAAAAAAATCAGTTATCCCGATTTATTTTCTTGAGAATGTGACATAGTAAAGCTTACATATAAGTATTCGACAAAGGCCCTAATTCAACCAGTCCACCTTTTATTCTCGAATTACATTTTTCTTCAAAGCATCAAATTTACAAGGGGTACTGTGTATGAATAATTAATTTGTTAACTATATGTAAATCATATGCAAATCATATGCAATTTGGCATTATTGCAGCGAATCTTGATTCTTTTAATAAACCATGAAATTAAATGAAAATATGAAATGTCATTGTCACAAGATCTAGCAGCTTTCAGTATGATCACTCTCAAAGACAACCAGCTTCAGTCAATGGCTATTTAATCTTATCAAACTTTTTGGTTTTGTGATGTTATATTTCTGATTGGCAAATACAAATATTGATAACACTATTTTTGTATGTCATCCAGCTACATGTACCAGTGATTTACATTGTAGCTGTAATTAGAGCAGATTCATCGCAATCCCAGGCTGAGCCAGGCTGACCTTGGTCTCTAGGTGATCGATGTTTAGTCATGCCCACCCCTCACCCACCGGTCATCCTGTGGGAAGTGCATTCAATTAAAGATGAGGTTTTAATGGTTGTGAACTTGTGAGTAGGAATCCAGTACAAGAATGTGAGTTGTAAGGGTCAATGGTGAATGGCTAGTTATACAAATGTTGTTGATTTTCAGTACGACATGTACCTTCAGGGGGGGGGGGGGGGAGGGGGGGGTAGGGTGAAGGGTTGGATGAAGAGACGCATCAACTCCAGTGTTACAAACTACATTGTATCTCATCACTTAGAGCGAGTTGGCTGTCATTAGAGGCTACATACAGTGAAGCCTCGGACTTATCCTGGGGGTGGGTGCACACGAGCCCCCACAGTTCAACTCTGGTCCTTAGGACTGTGAATAGGCCTACACCATTTTCGTAACATTATCAAATTGAATGCATACATCTTTGCAATGTGCCATGCTACAAATTATTTCATTAACGTGTTACAAATGATTGTATATGCCAGTTGAATTGCATACATTAATTGGTGCTAGGTCAGACAAACATTATTGCTTGACCTACCTGACAACATGGAATGTATGCAATTTGCATTCTGACTATTGAAATACAATGAAACAGGAGAATGAACTAATAACTGAACATAGATTTGTGCATTTAATTTGATAACTTTACAAAAATGGCCTATTGGACAATGAATGTGTTGGCTCTTACTATTATTGGGATGTTCCTCTTTCGTTCCATTTTGATGTTCATGTATGTGCAAATGTTAAAATTTCTTCATGTTGCACACTTGCAACTTTTCAAGATGTGGAGATAAAATTCACATACCGGGTACTTGAAAGGTAGTCTGAGGGCGCGTTCATGCTTGATTTTGACGGCCAGAATCAGGCATCTGTTACGCGTTTAGTTTAAAACACGATTGCGTTCATGCTCACTTTTCGCCGATCGTAAACTCACAAAAAGATGCGTTTACAATTTGTAAACGCTTTTAAATGGGGTCAACGCACTGACCTCTAGTGGGTCTACGTAGCATGCGCACACAGGTTTGCGAATCCAGCTGAAGGCCACCCAAGGAGAATTGCCTGGAGAAGTGAGCATGAACAATGCACCGTGGAACTGCGATTACGATGAGCGTTTACGATGAGCGTTACAAATCGCTCATTCTGCCTTCAAAATCAAGCATGAACGCGCCCTAACTCACCACACATAAATACTGATGTTAATTATAGGCTTGCATTTATGCATAAATATATAGTTGACATGGAGTTGTCAGTTGAATTGTCAAGCATGCGCTATGATGTATACAGGATGTGAAACTCTTGATATAATGAATTTCTCCTTGGTTAAAATAAAAAAAAGTGTCATCATTAATTGTTTCTATACACATACATTTGTATACACATGACAGATAAGAGTGCTGAATTCATTGCTTATAATGACAAGGCCTAAACCACAAGTGAGGTTTATCATAGATCTGAATTTGAAAGGACTTTCTATTCATAGCTCCTTTTAAGTTGTTTACCTTACTTTGATACACTTTTTTGTGGTATTTGTTCAAGTAGCTTTCCTTTTGTAACACTTTCACTATAATTTTAGGCTTACCGGTAGCTCATGATTCATTCATTAGAAAAGGACGACAGTGAGTTTGTGCTACTTTTAATGGCCTACATAAGGTATGTAATGTTCTAGCTTTTCCCTGTTTGTGTACAATTTCATGTATGTTTATGTAAAGAATTATGGGAGTGAATTTTGTTGTGTTAATCGTTATGAAGTTATTTCGTCAAATGGGAGATGTGAGACTTGACAAAAATTGCCATTTCTTTAACATGGGAGGCTAGAATATCAAAGGAATGTTGAAAAGATGAGTGCCTAAAGCATTTAGCACAATTAAGGCAAGTTCAGAATTGATGTGGTAAACCGCCACAAAAAACCCAGTCGCATTAAAAACAAAACGTGTATAATTGAACAAGGCTTTGATGTTTAACTTGCAAAAAGGCACTTCTGCATTTGTTAACATTTTGAAATGTGAAGATTGTATTCCTCTCTTTGTGATGATTTTTTGTTGTTGAACAAAACAAAATAGAGATCTAATCAACTTCGAATTATTTGTGGAGTTTTGTTTTTATGTACTATTTAAAATAGTGACTACATTGAACCGAGAATCTGAACTGAAAGTTTAAATAGAAGAGTTTACAGGGGTCATGTAAACATGTGTTGAACAAAACAAAATAGAGATCTCATCAACTTCGAATTATTTGTGGAGTTTTGTTTTTATGTACTATTTAAAATAGTGACTACATTGAACCGAGAATCTGAACTGAAAGTTCAAATAGAAGAGTTTACAGGGGTCATGTAAACATGTGCACCCCTAGATGCAATCACAATAGGACTAGAATAATTTCCTAGGGAAAGGGTGTGCACCCTCCAATGAAAACAAAACAAACGTTGCTTACGAATTGTCACAATTGAACTTTCATGTAAATAATGTAACAATCATTCAATGTATTCAAATCCATTGAGATCAAATGTGATAAAAGTAAAGAAATGGGTATCTTTTGGGTTAAAAGCCTATTTACTGTGTAATAGAGCATAATGATTGAGCTAGGTATGATCACAATTTCGCCAATATCAAAATGAAAGCCAAACAAACGCTGGATTAGTTTAATAGATGTAGGCGATTACAATTGAACTTCGATAATCTAACAAATGTACAATGTACATTAGTTATTTTATTACCAGTATGTAAAGATTATATTCTGATAGATGGACAGAAGTGTGCGCTCTATAAGTTTACACTATTATTATTAAGTTGTCGTTTAGACTCTCAGATGTCCATCTGGCTAAAAACTGGTGTACAAGCTGGTGCCATAGATTAATTACACAGGATAGATACTGATCACAATTCAGCCAAAACTAAAATGAAAGCAAAACAAAAACTGCATTAGTTTAATAGGTGTATAAAACTGAGTTTAAATGATCTAACTTACATTCATGTCATTTACATTACTTAAAAAAAAGAAAGATCAAGTTTTGATGAATATAAAGAAAAGGGCATCTTATGCCTAGATAATCTCCTGTCTAATACTATATACTGTGCAGTATTCATGTAATAACTTGATTGTTGAGTTGCCTGATCACAATTCAGCCAACATGAAAACGAAAGAAAAACAGAAGCTGCATATAAAGTTAGGTGTATCCCACTGAGCTTAGATCATTGAACACACATACGATTTACATTACATGTTATTATTCCATAAAGATCATTTTCTGATTAAAGTAAGCATATAGTGTTTTTTTGATGCCCAGACGCCGTCCCGCATAAAAGTTGAGTTTATATATCATTGAATGACGCACGATCACATTTCAGCCAATAGGATACACGCTTCATTACCCATACATTTTTATAATCCCTGTCATATTTTTACATTGTAAATTCCAAATATATTTTTATGCAGAAATTGTCTACCATAATCAATAATTTACAAGATAGCATTGTGATACTGCCCCCTGAATACTTTTACAAAAGTTCCAGTGCTGAACTTGGCCTTTAACTTGCCTTTATACTTGGACATTGTATGCTATTCTGTTCTTCATCCTTCCATATTTATTATGTATTCAACCATTCATACTTTTGACCTCATAAATGTGACTATAATGCTAGCACAAATATTTGTAGTAAATAGGACGTGTGCTCTTCAATCAGAAGTTATGTTATTTAATATTTTTCTTTGTGCTTTTAAAAATACATTTATCTGGAGTAGGTGGATTTTCTGTTGATATTGTATTCATCATAAAATTATGAAATGTTATATTTCTCTGTCTCTCTCTTTCTCTTAACCTCTCTCTCTCTCTCTCTCTCTTTCTCTCTCTCTCTCTCTTTCTCTTCCTCTTCCCCTCTCTCTCTCGCTCTTCCTCTCCTCCACTCTCGCCCTCTCTCTCTCTCCCTCTCCCCTCCCTCTCCCCTTCTACCCTCTCCTCTCTCTTCCTCTCTCTCTCTCTCTCTCTCTTCCCCTCTCCCTTCCCCTCTCCCTCTCCCTCCCCCTCTCTCTCTCTCTCTCCCCTTCTACCTTCTCCTCTCTCTTTCTCTCTAAGCCTGCACGTCCTTCCCTCATTTAAATTTGGACTAAATATTTGCGTTTGAATAAGTATATACATATGTACTGATGGTCAAAGTACAGGATTGTTTTTTTTTGACAGAAGGAAAGTTGGACTGGGTGGGAAAATATGAAAAGGCAGTACCGTATTTGTTTATTTCATCTCAAGAGCAGATCTAACAGTAGCATCCAACAATGTAGTGGAAAGAAAAGTTTGCAAACAGTTTTTTACTTTAACTGAGTCACTCTTTTAAAATACATCTGTTGAAAGATATTTGTGAGGCAATTCCACATGAAAGAAATAGATATTACATTTCAGTAACCGTCAGACTATACAGGTCATGCCAGCAGACTGACAGCCCATGAGATTGACCTCCTACAAGACCTACAGCCTTTTCACACACAGCTAAAATTCATCATATCTAGAGATGATTAGTATAAACGTGTTTAACTCAACAGTTTTAAACATGTTTATAGAAAAATTTTCCCAGTGTGAACATCGTTTATACGATGTTGGGATAGATACGAAGTCGCGATCCATACGCCCCTAAAAGCAGGCTGCAGATACGAAGTTCGTATCTAGAGAGCTTGAAATTTTGTGTGTGAAAGGTTATTCGTGTTTAAACGTGTTTCAGACGTGTTTAAACTGGATGGAGCATGTGCTTTGATTGATATGACATGACCTTCAATGCGCAATGGCACTACTGCGCATTTTACGAGCAGTAGTTAATCATGAAACGATTAACGATCCCACCGAAATTTCTGTGTGTGAAAGGCTTGTGATTAGTTTAAACACGTTTCAAACACGTTTATACTAATCATGTTTATAGAATTTTAGCTGTGTGTGAAAAGGCTGCTATAAAAACAAGAAAAGTTTGCAAACAGTTTCTCATTTGAACTTTCTCATTTGAACTGAATCACTTTTTAAAAATCCAATTGTTGAGAGATATAAGGCCATTCTACACAAACGAAAAAAAGACTATATTTCAGCAAATGTAACATTATATAGCTGATGCCAGCAGACTGTCAGCCCTTGAGACCGACCACCTATGAGACCCAAAAAACAAGAAATGCATAAGAAAATATAGACAACAAGACAGTTGAAAAAGGTCGACAAGACCGAAAAAACAAAGAATACATCAGGGAAGATAGAATAATGTCGGTCTTGTAGGCCGTTGGTCAAGTTAAAACCCTCTGTAAAGTGGCTAGCAGGCCCATGAGACCGTTAACATTGGACATCAGTTGCATGGGTAATCAGACGTGTGAACCCTCAGAAAAGTTGTATGAAGGTCTTCAATACAGACATTTGTGGTTTAGTAAATTGTTGGTCTTGTAAATTGTCGGTCTGGAAGGCTGTAGTCGGATTTTACTGCTCAGTTTGCAGGATCCAGTGCATTTTACAATATTGAAAATTATCATCTTTCTAATTTCCTGGAATATCAGTGATCACTTGCCATTTGAATTATCGGATGAAACATGTCAACATTCATGTATGTACTGTAATTCTGTATTCGATGTTACACAAACATTTCCGAAGCTGTATAGTCATGTTCATTGGACCAAAAGTGTCCTGCTGATACAGTTGCTTCTTGGATAGTGGCAGCAGTTTTTACAGGTTCTAATCCCTCCTTGTTCAGAGATTTGATTTTATATCTCTTATCATTCATATGCTGATCATGTAGGTGATATCAAAAGCTCTATAAGAAAATCTCTTCCCTGAATTTTATTTATTATTGTGATATATTTTTACACATATAGTTAATAGGGTTAATATTTAGATTCCAGTGAGTTCACAGTATTGACCTTCATTACACTTATTCATGTGACCCATTTCAATTCTAATTCTGAGTAAATGTCAACATTGACTTTTTTGGCAAATCTCCAGGGCCGTCAAATAATAGGCAATGTAGATATGGGTTCCAACAGGCATTATATGATTAGGATTAGGATTCATGTATATGTTCATGACATAGTGAACACAGTAAAAAGGAGAGAGAGAAACAACAGAGCTGTTTGGTCTACTGGTATACAGTGTAGCCTTCTTTCTTGCTTTTCTGATAGCATCAGCTTCCGGCATATACTTCACATGTTTTATACCATCAGGAGTGTTTAACCTGTTTTCATTCAGATCCAGATGTTCATGTTCAGGGTATGTTGTGAAGCTATTGATTTATTTGGTTCATTTGCAGTCAAGCAGATTTGCATTTGACAAATTACCGCAAAAAGCACCCAGCTTGATTAAATGATTTCATGTGTATAGTGTGCTGTACACTGTAGGTGGTACTACTTTTGACAGTAAAATGTATGCATGCGATATATAAACATGGAAATTTACTTTTTTTTGGTAACATGTGTTTCTAAGCACCCTTTAGTGTTTGATAGGCATTGACATAATTGATGTAGCATCGGGTGTTGTTCTTGTTTTTGTGCCACCACCACTGAATGTGGTGCTGGAGGCATTTTCGGTTTGTCCGTCCGTCCGTCCATCCATCCATCTGTCCTGCTTTTCGTTACCGTGATAACTCCAGAACCATTGAACTAATATTTACCAAACTTGGATCAAGTACCCATATGTCTTAGGGTACGTACAGCATGGGGCTCTTGTTTCAGGTTAAAAAATGGGGGTCCAGACTCCAGAGTTACAATTTTAGGGCCCATATGCATAGGATTCTTTTGTAGTGTCGACTGATCCAAGTCCTGCTAATATATTGTACGATTTTTAGGGTAAACTATTAAAAAGGAGGTAGGATTTTGAAGAGGTTAGTAGTCGCTACAGGGAAGAAGTCCCAAAGTCAGGTTGGAAGGTATTTGTGAACAGGATCATATTGTTCATTCTTCACATAGGAGCCTGGAAGTCGAGAAAGTTTTTGCTACTTGATGAAAGGAGGAGGAGACGGTCACATGCGTCTTGCTGCACTCATTTTTGTATTTACATTGGCATGGGTTTGTGTGTTTACCTTTTTTTTTGAGAGAGTGCCTGGAGCTCTGTGTGTTTTGAAAGGAGACTCTTTTGATGACATTTTGCACTATTTGCTATTTTGTTGTGAGATATGAAAGAGAGAAGGAAAGAGAGAGAGGAAGAGACAGAGGGGGATGAGAGAGATAGAAAGAGAGGGAGAGAGAGAAAGAAAGGATTATTGGATATAGTGTTAGAGGTAGAGAAAGAGAGCGTGTGGGTGTGGGAGAGAGAAACATACAGCAAGGTTACATGTATGAGTGTATGGTATGCATTTAAAGATAAACTTGAGTTCTGGTAAAAAAAAAGAAAATGAATTCTCACAGAATCTAACGAAACTTGCACTGAATGTTCAAGATTACAAATAAATGTCATGTGCCAAACAATTTTGGAAGAAAATGTATACTGGCTGAGTAATGAGCATAGAAAGATAAGGAAATCAGGGTAGTACTAGCCCCGACACCATGTGTGTTGTCCCATATACATGTTTCTGTGTAAGTGATTGTTACTTTACCAAGACTCTGCCAAATTTATGATGATTTTGATGACTCCAGAACCTTGCATTACACACCATTACTTACATGCTATATGATCAAATTTTCTGATCCATTCCACACCTTTTCTTTCACAATGCAATCGCATTACCAGAACTCAAGTTTATCTTTAACTTTGCAAATATAAAACTGATTTTGTAGATGTAGGCCATAAGTTATCTCTTTCACCTATATTATTATTTGACTGTGTTCTTTGTAATCTACCTTTATAACCTCTGTGATATTTAGATGTGAAACAATGATTACTTAGGAGATCCCTACTGATATGTACAGTGTAGTTTTGTATTGCCCCCTCTCTTGCCTTCTCTTTCTCTCTCTCTCTCTCTCTCTCTCTCTCTCTCTCTCCCTCTCTCTCTCTCTCTCTTTCTCCCTCTCTCTCTCTCTCTCTCTCTCTCTCTTTCTCTCACTCTATCCCCTCTCGGGCTCTCATTCTCTTTTTCTTTTCTCTCCCTCTTTCTCTCTATCTCTCTTTATCTGTTGCTCAATGGTGACACTGATTGGAATTATCAACGCGTGTAATCTCTGTGTAATTACTCCCAGGATCTGGCCTTGGTTGCTCTTGTGTGTTCAATCCAATCTTTTCTGATATGCCCTTTGGTCAACGCACCAAGCAATCAATATATGTATAAGGACAACTGAAGCTATGCTAGTATCAATCAATTTTGCATTTACCGGTACTGTACCTTGCAGATTAGTGGATTAATCGTTCTCACTTTATGCCAATTTTCTTGAGGGTAATGTTACAAATGGGCAATAAATGTGAACGGTGCATGTATGTACAGGGATAACTGCAACAATGCATGTGTCATTTAATGCACTATGATAGCACTGAATGTTTAAATCTACTGTTTTTAATGCATTTTTATATGAAACATTGTGAGCCAATTATTGTTAGTCTTTGGACTTTATATTTGGTATATTTGTAATAAAACCGAAATTGAATTGAAATGAAAAAAGCATATAAGATCAGTGGATTTCTGCTGCCTTTCTTTAATAGCTGTGATGTTACTACAAATGTGACTGAAATATATGTATGTACAAGAACGATTGTTTTGACGCTTGTATCATTGACTTCACCGTGTAATTGAATTTGACTATATCTTGCAGATAAGTTAAATGATCCTTCTCACTATCTGCTGTATTTCTTGATTTTGATGTTGCTCTGATAATATCTGTGACGATATATGTATGTACAGGATCACCTCACCTACATGTGTACTTGAATCATTTAATTAACTATGTTTTGAATGTTACTGTATCTTGCAGATAAATGAAGCAATCATTCTCACTTTCTGCGAACTTTCTTGACTGTGATGTTACGAACAGGGCAGTATACATGTAAAGGCATATAAACGACTGTATCAATATTTGTATCATTTAATTGACCATGTATTTGAATTTTACTGTACCTTGCAGATAAATGAAGCAATCATTCTCACTTCGTGCGACCTTTCTTGACTGTAATGGAACGATGTAGCCATGGCTTCTTCAGACGAAGGTGACTCATCCGCACCGCCAACACCAAACTATGCCCAGCTATCGGGCTATTCGGTAAGTGGGCTTTAGGTGGCTGCTCAAACACAGTATTAAAGGGGACCGTGAGCCTAGAATAGAACTTAAACAGAGCAAGAAAAATTCTGAAAAAAAGTGAAAAATATTAAACATCTCATATCTTGACTAGTGAATGTATCACTAAAAAATACACAGGTGTGAAGAATGATTTATCTCTGAAAAGATTCAAAGCTGGTCTAAAAGACTTTAAAGATTTCTGGTAGCAAAAGAAAATAGTAACAAGAACAACAGTGAAAGCAACAACAAATGCCTTTGAAAATTTGAGGAATCTCTTTTTTTTCCAGCAAACCTTGAAGAATGTTTGTTGTGTTTAGTTTGTTTAGTTTCCCTGCCAAATTTCAATACTCACCCTCAGAAAACTGATGTAATCAAATCATTTAACTTTGAAACATCCACAGTCTCCCGTCCATACTGCTGTGAAGGCCGAGTACGATGGTAGCCCCGGCTGCAGCAGTGACAGCGTCTGCTCTCCCGAGCCCAACGGCTCCCTCTTGAACGGCATCCAGAACGCTCTCCTTGACGAGGCAGCCAAGGCCGACGGGGACCAGGGCGCCAACCCTAGACTGTGTGCCGTATGCTCGGACCTGGCGTCCGGGTACCACTATGGCATCGCGTCCTGCGAGGCTTGTAAGGCCTTCTTCAAGAGAACAATTCAAGGTGTGTACCTCTGACCTCTGACCTCTGGAAGTTTCCAGGGTTGGTGGGGCAGGATATTGTGGTGCATCTTGAAATTTGAGAATGCTAGCTCAAGGAGGAAGCACTCTGGAAAGTTTGGAAAAGTTTGGAAAAGTGTCACATCAAATGGGATGCTATGAAACCCATGATATTTTGGGATATGAAAGTCTTTCAAATTGAAGGCCTTTAACACTGATGACCTTTTTTGTATCAGTTGTGATACAAGTATTTTGATGTTATTGTTTTGGTGCACAAGAATATCGCTATTCTGAACCACTTGCAAAATTTGCAAAAGTTTCAAGCTTACAAAAGTTTCTGGTTTTAGAGCAATTTTAATTGTAATTTTAATTGATTCATTGAAAATTTTGGAAAAATACATGCATCCATATATTACTAAGGTTTCCTTAGTGCTGGTTATGACAAATCCCAGTTAAAGGCTAACTCAGATATGACAAGGAAAATCGCTGCAAAAGACCACCACATTTAAAAAAAACCCTGTACATTGATGGCAACTGCGCACAGCAAAGGTCCTACAGGTGTTTTTTAAACTCTGTGTTATGAGATACAGAAATGTGAAGTACGCTGCTTTATAATACAGTTAATCTTTAAAAATGCTGCGGTTTAATGCCTTGTATCTGAACGGCTTAGAGTAGATCTATTGCTAGGTTTATTGTGTATGAGTTGTTAAGCATACTCATTTAGTTTGTACATGTACGTCATCTCCTCTTAAGTTATGGAATCATTAAATTAATCAAAATGTGAGAAATACTAATGTACAGATAGGTCCATTAGAATATTTACTCTGTATGGCTGATAATGATTGATTGTTGAGAAGAACGGATTCGGCTGGTACTTTGATCTGCCCTCTGTCAATTCAGTGAGTTCTCCATGGAGATGTGGAGTGGTTAACCCCATCGATTAGCAATTTCCTAGGCGGGCTCATCAGATCTGCCCGGGCAAGGTCCTGTGTAATGAGAGCCACACCGAGCAGTAACCAGAATTCAAGCCTTTTTTTCATCAGGGCGATGCTTTATGAACAATATCCTGTGACCGTGAATGAGGTCAATGTTGAATAATCATCCATAATGCAAGAATTCATACTTTGTTCTATAGCTTGTTTCATCAGACCTGACTGGAGTTGTGTACTGTCTCACACTTTCATGTATAGGCAGGACTAAGCTATAGTGTAACCTGTATGTAAAGACCACTCAAGAGAGACAAGAATAGTGGTCTCTATAGGCAAAGTGGTCTTTATGTAAAGGTTTTTTAGTTCACATTTCAATGAGAATCACCATTTAAGGGAAACAGAAAATGTGGTCTTTATAGACAGATGGTCTTTCTATGCAGGTGGTCGCTAAAGCTGGTTTCACTGTATTTTGTCCCATACATAACCAACAACATCTAGAATCGTTATAAATCTAGTTTTTGTAATGAGTTCACAGCCCTACGAGTGCTTGGATCATACCCAATATTGTGGTTTTGATTTCAAACTAAATTTACCATTTAAATGACATTTATAATTCCTTAATGCTTGATAGTGTATGGGGTGCCAAATGACCAATGAACTTGTCCTCATAAGTTTGTGCACATGTACATTACACCAGTGGGTCTCTCCTTGCCAAGAACATGCCCGAGTGCTCTTAATTTGACTCGATTTATGGTTCATTCTAATTATGCTTTTCCATTTTCAGTCAAAAGCTAAATTACAAAGTTTTGTAATTTGTTAAGTATGTGAAAAACTGATTTGTCGTGATTACCGGTAGTGTTTCTTGCGAATGTGACATACTGAAGCTTTCATCTAAAAGTATTCAACAATAGCCCTAATTTAACCAGTCCACTTTTCATTCTTGAGTTCCGAAAAACACACAAAAACATCAAAGTTACAAGGGGTATGAATAATTTAGGTGTTAACTGTAAACGTAGCGTGAGATCTCATTCCATATCTTTCTAAAGCAAGCCTGGACATCCGACATTAACTGTACAGTGAAATTTGCTTTCTGAATGACAAACAAAATCTCAGATTGCAATGAAAAATGAAACACAAGATCTCCCAATGTATGGACAGTGACATGCGATTCAAATGAATCCTACTCGAGTTCTAAAGGTCTATAACCTCATCAAATCTGATTACAAAAGGTGGTAGTTTGTGGTTTAGAAATATTAATCATATGTGGCTTGACCCTTTCTCACTTTTGAGGTAAAACTTTTTTTAATAAGTATAATAAAAGAAGCGTAATACGCTTCAAATTTTGCATCTTATAACACACAGATAGTGAGTATGCTTACTACATGTATCTGTGTATCCTGCTCCTACCTTTTTTCCATTGCCATTTGCCATTCATTTGTGAGGTAATAAAAACTGCCTGCGTGAGCGAGCCTTCAGTTGTTGAATAGAACATAACGGTATGATGATGTAGCACTGAATGCATATTTATCTGGCCATTTATTTGTCGTCCCCTTTTCTAGATTCGATAAGCTTCTACTTTAAAACGGGGAACACAGTGATGGTGCATACTATGTTCAGTAGCAGCTGTTAATAACTTGTCTTTGAATGTTGTTTCTTGTAAATTAAATTTGTTTTTCCAAGAATAATGAAAAGTTTGTACACATGACTTTACTCATGATCAGAACAGGGACATCGTGCCTGACTAGAAATTCATGTACATGTAGGTTGTTATTGAAAAAGGACACCTGTAGTTGATCATATCCCTTTATGATACTTTAAGATAATCTAATCTCCTCTGAGTCCCTTGATCTGTCTCCTCCTCCTACCTTTGTGTGTCTTAATTAATCTCGCATGTGAGTCAGTTGCAGTGCATACAATTTCACCCTTGATCCCACAAACACGTTGTTATCTTCAAGAGAATGTAAATTATCGCTTTGCTCCCTTTACTTTATCAGTGCGGGTTAGCAAGGAGGTCGTTCCCAATCGGCTTAGAGCATTTATCAAACATTGTTTGCGCTGGCGGATCAAAAGTTTATCGATACGAAAAGAATAAGTATGTTGAAATGTAAACAACAGACTTGAGACATCTATGTGTGCATGCACGTACCCCGCTGTACTTGCGATAAAACTTGAAATGGGGCACCGCACGCCAATTTCTGCAAGCTTTAGGGATCTGTACCACATGGAACCATGACCTAAAGCCTATAATATGTCAAGTCTTTGGTTGTATAACCAATTATTGTTAAAACCTGGATCCCTTCTTGTAAAGAGTTATCAATCGCAACTATGTACATAAGAGATAGGAGACTGCATACTTGCGATTGATTGGAGAAATCGTAACTCTTTATAAGACGGGCCCCCTGGAGTGACTTATATTGTCAGAAAATGCACTAGGTAATTTGTGTAGTGGTGGTTATATTACCTAACTGCTAAGATAGCATAAATGCTTGTTTGTAAGCAACCAGAGGACCGAAGGCTTTAGGACTGACGGCTTTAGGTCCTCTTCGAGAGACCTAGTAATGATGAGGATTAATGCCTTACCAATATAATTTTTAAAATCTATATTATATTGATATATGATTGGTATTACCTGGTGGGAAAAAATATCATATTTTCATGATAATGTTATATGGTTGTTATTGTAGAATTTAACATATAACTGTGAAATGAAATTAAACATAGTTTCATGTCAGTGGCTTATCAAACATTTGAGCCAACATACACCCCTAGATTCCTACCAAGAAACTATATGCATATATTTATCTGTGAGGTGTTTAAATTCTAGATACTTCACCTGACGTGGCAGATGATAGCATCCTATTATCTTTGTGACATGAATAATACAGTGTTATCTTTTATTGATGTTTACCAACCAATGCTCATGAGTCGTGACCAAAATTCTATATACAGGGGTGACCGTGAACTCGATTATTGAGGGGTGAAAAGAACTTTTCTCCTTTTGGTCTAAATGCCTTGTTTAAACTTTTATCTATAGGGCCTATATCTGCCAAGATATGTTTGATGATAGGCCTGGTGCTCCAAATATCCTGGTTTCAGTCATTTGTTATTTCTCCAAATTTGGATAAGATATGTTGTACTTCACAACAAACTACAGTTTATTCACCTTGGAGATATAAACTAAAGTTTCAGTTCTTATTTTAGGTAGCTTTAGAAAAATGTTCAGAAGTGAAATGAAAAGATTGTCTGGAACAAAAAAATGCATAATTTGTTCAAAAATCATGATTTTATGACATAGATATAGAACTGCATGTACATCATTAGGATATATGGAGCTACTACTACTACTACTACTTTGGAATATGCTTAATGTTATCTTGAATTTCATTCATATATATGTAGTAATCACTTTTAACTCATTGACTTAACTAACTACCGATAATGTCCCTTTTGTGTTCCGGATGCCTCCTTTGGTGCCCCTACATTTCCTCAGCTACCTTGTTGCGGTGGCATTTGTATGGTGCCTTACTTTTTCATGAAAGAAATTTCTTTTTTTGCCACATATCAGTGAAAATTTTATTTTTTATTTTTCGGGGGCTACTTTTCAACCTTGCCTTCATAAAAATAACATTCTAAAATTTGTTTTGCATTGAACTCTATGCAAATTTAAGGGGGCTCTTTTCTGATTTTTGGGGGCTCTTTTGGGCATTTTGGGGGCTATTTGGCCCTGAGCCCCCATGTATTTTTTTCACTGCCACATATTTAACAGACTCATTTAAGCATAAATAGCTTATTTTTTCAAATTTTCAGCCTTTTAATACCACATGTGATAAGATAAATAGCTTGTAATTCTTCTCATCAGTCATTATCGATCTAAAGAGGACATCTAAGAGGACATCTGTCTCACATTCAGTCGTGAAAGAGTAATTTTTTTATGGTACATGTATGTCCATGGGCACATCAAGTGTCATTGATATGGTTGACTGTATCAGCTGTACGTTAAACATTAACTATTGATTGGTTTTATGGAATCAATAGAATGTAATATTCATACTAAGTAACAGATGTTGGATGAAATGATGAAAAATATCGCAAAAGCCCATGTGAAATGATATGTACACTAGTATAATGTGCAAAATATATTAAGTGTTAATCGCATATATATGTATCTTATTTAGTATGTCAACCGTAGCTAATTGAAACTGACAATCTTTAAAACTGACTATCATTTAAAATAATAATAATAATAATAATAGCCTAATAGTCCACTCCAAATTTTATTAAACCGATTTTGCCCAATTGATTGTGAGCCCGGCAGCCACTGAGAAGCGCCAGATCGACATTGCTCTGTCCCTTATTGTTGAACGCCAAACAAGGTAGCAACAACTCCCATCTTTTAACGTCTTTTGGTATGACGCGGCCGGGGTTCGAACCCACGACCTCCCGGTTGTGAGGCGGACGCTCTACTGACTGAGCCAACACTCCGGTATATGACACCCGTTGTGGGTTGTCAGGGAGGGGACATGGGCGTCCTGCTACACAACATACTGTACATACACTGTTCGGAACACGTTCAACAGTCTGAATTTGTATTAATGCTCAAGTTCCTTTCATGTACCGGTACCTCTATTATGATAATAATTATTCTAATTATTACCTTTGTATGATCATTGTGTACAGGTAACCTGAATTACCAGTGCCATTCAACGAGCGAATGCGAGGTGAACAAGAAGAGACGTAAAGCATGCCCGGCGTGTCGCTTTCAGAAATGTATCAACATGGGTATGATGATTGATGGTGAGTGTGACAGTCCATTGATAAGTCATAATGATCAGCATCATGATAATAATAGTTATCATATTGATAGTAGCGATCATGATAATATTGATGATAATAATTATGATGACCTAAAGAAAAGACAAGACATAGGTCGTGTCTGGCATGTCATTTTTTAAAAGTTGTATCAACATGGGTATGATAATAGATGGCGAGTGTAGCAGTCCATTGATAATAGTCATAATGATCAACATCATCATGATAACAGCACTTGATAAAAGATATAATAGTAATGATAGTATAATGATAATAATGATGATAACGTAAGGAAAAGATGTTAAGCATGCCTGGTATATCAGTTTAGAAATGTATCAACATGGGTTTGATGATAGATGATGAGTTGATTGATAATAACCATGATGATCAACATGATAATAACTGTGATAATCGTGATATTATTGATAATAACAATGATAATGATAACATCAAGTAGAGACGTAAGGCTTTTCAAACCGTTCCTGTATCCATCTCAGAGAGATAAAAAAAAAAACCAGGATGTGTTTTTTCATCTTGTTTTGGTTTTAAGCTCTAGCACTTTGTTCATCTAGTCACACGTTTAATAGATATAAAGCTAGAAGGTATCTGCCGGCACTACTGAGTATAATGACTTCTCATTACATATTTTAATATATTAATTCATGTTTAACTCCTGTTGATGGTTGAAAACAAATGTCATGACCAACATAATTCATCTATTTCAGTTTTGTTCTCATAATTCTTCTGCAGTGAGCCTTTTGTCAAACATGTTACATGTGTGATATTTTTTGCTCATTTTTCTTATTTTTTGTTAATGAGAACAATAGCAGGAAATCAAAGTCCAATGACCTCCACCCATTTCAGAAATGATAGCCTTGCCATAGTACATAGTCTTGTTATACAGCATACTCATTAAAAAATGATAGACATGTGATCATATTGCTCACTTTCATTTTAAGAGTTTAAAGGAAAACAAATACCGGTAAATGGGGCTGAGGGCAATTTGCCCCCGGATACTGTTAAAAGAATGTTTTTTATTTGTACACAAGCACTGTGTGTGATGTTGGAAATCTGTTCAGGCACAGAATGGTTGTTTTGTTAAGTTTGAAACCTGACTAGGATTTCATCAGTTCATTCTTGGGATACCAGGCGGAATTTGACCTTATTTAATCAGTTTTCATGTGATTTAAATATTAAAATGTCAACCTTGCTTCATGAAATGCAATTAAAACTATGGAAACTTCTAAATACTGTAGATATTAGGTGTTAGGAGAAAGTGGGAAGTCTATGCAAATAGACCATAGGGCAAGCAATAATGTTTGTCCTACCTGGCAAGAACTGATGTACATGCAGTTCGCATTCTGACTACTGGTATTGAAATACAATTATTTGTAACAGATGAATGAAATAATTCTTAACTAGGCACTTCACAAAGATGTATGCATTAGATTTAGTTACATTAGGAAAATTGATCAATAATAATAATAATAATACCCAGTTTTTATATAGCGCTTATTACAGTCACTAAGCGCTTCCAAACTTGGAGATTATTACCCTGGATTATTTATGAATATGAAAGCAAATTACAATTTATTGTACTTTTGTTACAAATGTGTAGATGGCCTACTATGGACATGCTAAAGTAGTTCCAATATATTCGCATATCATGTAAATCCCTTGAGTTCCACTCAATTCCTCATTCGATTTCAGATGTCCACGTGGCAGTCTTGTTTCTTAAATTGCCTGTTTCAGGACCAATATTAGTCTAAGAGAGTTCTCTCGGCTGCATTCACTCTGAAGAATGAGTCCCATGTGTTAAAAGTGCATTGCAGAAACATACATGCCAACTGTTCAGATTAAAGAGGAACATTCCTCTTTTTGGGAGAAGATAATTATCATTTTAATGCAGGTGTTCCTCTTCCTGTACAAATTTGTCTGTAGTATTGAATAGGAGAGTTAGGATTGTTCCTCTTTTTTTTGAAAATAGCATAATTTGTACAGATTTCTGATTTTCAAATGTTGGCATGTATGCAGAAACGTGTTGGGAACTTAAGTTATTATATCAGGTGCCTGTTATTCACAAGTCAGAAATAGCCCACTGAATTCTTTGTATACAAAAATATTTGAATTTGGTCTACATAATATACGTTATAGAGTACCTTATTATCCAAATTCGAACATGGGCAAAATGTTTGAAAATAACTGAAGTTTTTATGCCTAATCATGCATGATTCATCTTCATTTTGACAGTAATTTTTATTTAATCAACCTTTAAAAAAGAATTAAGTTGAATCAAATTACAATGCCTCATGTGTTTTTCCCATTCCATGTGTTCTTTTGAATAGGAGTAAGACCTGACAGGGTGCGAGGAGGCAGACAAAAGTACAGGCGGAGGCCGGAAGAAACAGACTTTGCCCCCTCTTCTTCAGCAAGAAGAGCAAAGCACCGGAGAGGTAAGGTCCACATTTGAGCATTTAAAGAGGAGTAAGGGTTACATTTCGGTCGATTGAGTTTGCTCTGGATTATTTTGTGTCTGGGTTATCTATTTGGTGGTGTAATGAGGAGAAAAACTGATAAGAAGTTAGAGGGATGGAAAAGATTGATGTCATAATGGTTGACTGATTGCTAAATAACAAGACAGGTTTGGGAGATAAGATGGCATTAAGAGCCCTACTTCAAGAGGGGGTGAGTAGGTGGGTGGGAGGGATGGAGTGAGAAAGGGAGGGAAAGAAATGAATATCAAATCTAATCTGATCATTTTATTGAAATTGAATACACAATTTTGGATTATGAATATACAAATAATTATTTATTTAAAAAAAAACAAGTACAGAAGAAATAAAAAGAAAGAGCAATGAATGGATAGATGAATGCATAGATGAATGTATACACAGATGAATGAATGAATGAATAGAGGGATTGGTTGATGGAGGAATGAATTTATGTCAATGAACGAATGATAGGATTTGTCAACGGATGGATGAATGATATTCATATACACGTCCCTACGTATGAAGAATGGAGAAACTAATTCCAGGGATCCCGGTTCACAAAGCCTTTTTTCAATGACAAATGAGGAAAATCGGTGACAAATCTGCTGATAACCAATCAGAAGCTAGGATTTCACTAGCTTATAACAAAAACTGTCATTTGTCACTGATGACAAGTTTTGTGAAATGGGACCCAGGAGGTTTTAGCAACGTTAATCCTTTATTGAAGAGATAACACGTTGATATGTTTGACAAACAACTCAGGAATATCCCTTGGCTACTGTAGAATGCACAATGTTTGTGCACATGTTATTACATGTGGGTCAGATCTTGTAATTTTCTATAAAGAACTAAAAGAATCAACCAAATGTACAAGTTATATAGATTTTTGCTCTACTTTTTATCACATATTTCACAAAACCTTTTAGAGCTATTGGACAAATAATCCACCCACCCCCCTCCTCATATCAATATCAAATCAGTGTGATGACCAATGACCTTGCAAGGTTTACAGTCAAGATTAGAAATTGACACCAAATGATCAAAGCATTACCCTTTTCAGGAAATAACCAGATTTCTTCGGCCATAGTTAGCATTTCATTCTTAGAATTATTGTACAGAATATTGGCATAATCATCAGAGATTAAATGAAGTCTAGTTGAGAAAAAAATGAAGTAGAGTATAATGTTACTTTTTTATAAGTGTAGTACAGCTTGTGATGTCATGAAACTAATCCATTTATATTCCCTCAGCCGCCGAACTGACCAAGCACCTTCTGAAGATAGAGCCACCGGTCAGTACCCTCGGTCCGATTGACCCAAGCCTCAAGGACAAGGACCCGGCCTTCCAGGCCATGAAGATCATCACTGACCTCGGGGACAGGGCCCTGGTCAATGTGGTCCAGTGGGCCAAACAAGTACCAGGTGAGTCATATTGATGGACCATGTACCATCTGTTTGAGTTGAGTTTGAGTTTGAGTTTGAGTCAGTTTAGATCCAGAAGGGAATTAACTCTGCACCCTTTTGGCTCCAAACGGATGGTAAAGGGGTAACGAAGATGCAATTTCCTTTGTCTAGTTTTACTCTACCAGTATGTGACAAACCTAATTCTTACATGTAGTAGGAACTACCATAGGATAATGAACAGTGAGTGACCTGCTCTTTTGTGTTATGACCCTTGAACTTTCTCACCTTTAAAGTGACCTTTGTGACAGGTTTCACAGAACGATTGCTAGAGTACCTGAAAGTTCTCCACAAAAATTTAGAATGAAGAATCATTTCAGGTACTACTACTAAGGTCGAGGCCTCTGAGTTAGTGATCTTCAGAGAAAAGTAAAGATATCATGACCTTTGACCCCATCCACTGTTCTGGTTACCTTGGCAACAGGTTTCACTGAGTTATCACTTGGGGACAGGAGGATACTACTCCAAGATGGTTGGATGGAGATCCTGCTGTGGCAGGTCATCTTCAGGTCAATCCCTCTCTGCGAGCCTGACAGAATAGCTTTCACAAAGGTAAGCCAGAGAGAGGGTTTGCAGAACTTTGTAACCAATGCTGGGCCCTGTTTCATAAAACTTATTTCAATAACAAGTTACAAGCTACTGTTATAAGCTACTGAAATCATGGCATCTGATTGGCTGAGAGCAAATTTATCATAGAAATTTAGCACTTGTTATGGATAACAAGTTTTATGAAACAGACCCCTGATGTCACTCTTCATATGCTACACAGATAGTGGGCCGTATGCATAAAAAGTAGCAATTGCTTGCAAGCAATCGCTTCAAGCACAAGCAATTGCTTGTCAAGCAAAAGATCAAGCTCAAGCAATTGTTTAAATCCGTATGCATAACATTTTGCTTGTGCTCAAACCTTTTGCTTGCCTCCAGCAAGCAGTTGCTTACGATCTCAACAATAGCGACGTCACGCCGGTGCGAACATCATTCATGGGAGAACAAAGGCGGGTTTCGCATACTAGTAGTGTGTTCAAATGTCATGCGTGTGGGGTAGCCTTTCCTGACATGGCAGTATAACATATCAGGATGACATATTTCAGAACAAAATGAAAAAAAAACACCGATACATGCACACACAAGCGCACAGTGCACCCAAATACACATACACACATGGCATGCATATACTAACAAGAAAAATACGTATAATATATACGTATAACCGCGAACGTCCCGATTAAGCAAGAGCTCAAGCTGCTATGACGGAGCTTGAAAAAACGTAAGCAATTGCTTATAAGAACAAGCAAAAGGTTCGTTTTATGCATACGTTTTTAAGCAATTGCTTGATCTTTAAACTTGATCTTTAAGCAATTGCTTGCGGACATCAAGCAATTGCTTGTGCTTGCTAGCAAAAGCATTTGCTTGCAAGCAATTGCTTATGTTTATGCATACGGATTCAAGTAAAAGGCTAGCACAAGCAATTGCTACTTTTTATGCATACGGCCCACTGTCCACGTGTCAGGTTGTATTAATCATGGGATAGGTATACCATTGGCTCTAATATTGTGTAATTGCTTTTAGTGCAAGATTTATATTTACCGGTGTTAAAAGAGTTTTCATGGAGCTAATCAAGACCAGAGATTGATAATATTGCAAAGCCATTTGTTATTGCTTTAAAGGGATAGTTGAGTTCTGTTGCAGAGGGCGCTACACAAAATAATATTTTTGTGAGATAATGAAAAACTGAGTGTCAAATTTGAAAGTACATAATAATAGTAATAATACATAAGATTTATAAGGTGTCAAATCCACTTGACAGTCAAATGCTCAAGGCGCAATAATATAATATTTAAATGACAAAATCATCTTTGTTTGATCAAAATCGGCTGAAATATAACAATTTCTCATACTTGTGTACCACCACAAATATTACCGTAAATCTCCGTGTATAAGGCGCACTTTTTTTGCCGCCGAAAAAATTTGAAAGTCGGGGGTGCGTCTTATACACAGGTACAGAAAAAAAAAGTTTTTTTTTTTTTATTTTATTTTTTTATTTTTTTAGTTTCGATTTATGGCGCTATGCTTGGCAATGTCGCATATGTTTTCTATGTTTTCTATAACAAATGGTGTACCTCAAGGTTCTATCCTAGGTACTCCATTATTAGAAAGATAGAGGATGCTATTCATATCATGCATGACTATTGATGTTTGGCATAGAACACAGTGCTTCTGCTAGGTGATGTGAAGAGGCTGGTGTGGGACACTTGGTATCATGAAGCCTTAGACTGTTGTTACTATTATTTGTGACAAGTTCACAACTTCTACTGCACCTCGATGTAAAATGAAGGTCCTTCCCCTCGTGGGTTTTCGGCAACAAAACAACAACAACAAAACAAAAAACGATTTTTTTTTTTTTTTTTAATTTTTTTTTTTTTTTTTTGCCCCCAAAATAGGGGTGCGCCTTATACACGGAGATTTACGGTAGGTATTTTGAAAAATTTGAAAAAACCGTTGGAAAAAACAAAATAACGCCTTTTAAGTTGTATTTCAGCCAATGACGATGTTGGCATGTTCGTGTTGCTTATTTTACCCACAATTAGCCGGCTCATGTATTGTTATTTTTAATTAAATAATTAATTAACGGTCATCGTGGTTTTTTGAAAGTGGAGCTGAATTGGTATGATCGTACTTGGCTAAATTTCACACATTTTGGGGTCTAAAATTACCTTCATAGTAATTTTAGGTGCTGAAAGGGCACTATAAATGTCATAGATAAGAATAAGAGCAATAACCATGCACTTTGAAGGCATTTGCGGTCTGAAAACAGAACTCAACTATCCCTTTAAGGCTTGTTGTTCAGATATGACGTGGTCAATCGCCGCAGTTTTCATACATGTAACTGAATGGTAACTGCTTGCAACAAAGGTCCTGCTCGTATTGCATTTTACATCATTAAAAAAATGCTGTGGTTTTGCCATGCCATATCTGAACGAGACCTTATGGATGAAGTAGTGTATGGTCACTTGATAGCCATGATTGACTTGGTCCTGAGCTCACCCTGTTTCCTTAACCCTTGCTCTATTTTGTGGTTGATTATTTTACCTGACTGCAAAGAAAGCAAATATTTGCTGGTAGATTAACGATTAGGGGACATATGGCTTGAATCATATCCAGGGTACATGTTGTTTTTTTTCTTCTGTTTTTTAAAATAAAAAGACAACAATGAAATAGCAGTAGAATTGAGATAGAATGAGAGAAAGACATTTTAAAAAGTAAGCACATAAATGAAACTGCAGCATATAATATATCAAAAGTATACAGTTTCAAATATAAGTTTTTACAAGTCAGAACTCCATTTACGAAAATGGATAGTAAGTTTATCGTTCTCTTTTGCACTAACGTTCAGTCAGTTAGTATTCATAGAAGCATCAAAGCCTTGAGGGATGTGGTTATTCAGGATGAATCCTTTACCAAAGTGCACTAGCCATATCGACTTGGTTTCTAACTTGTGACCCTGTGGTGATGATACCATTGCTCTACCAATGAGCCTTCGTGGTGTTGAACCATGCATCCTTTTCATAAATGACTTTGACATGTGATGTCTGTAAAGTGGTATGATTGCTTTATGTTCAATCTAGGGTCTAAGCATAGATGAAGAGCAGGCAACAACAAAAGATTTAGGCTTGCTAATAGTGATGGGGTCATGAACCTAGGTTTCCTAAACCATCGTGCCACCTGCTTTGTCGTACAGCCTTTTCCCAAATATCAGTGACTTGTGTCTTTTGTAGCTCATGTGATATCTTTTATTGTTCAGGGTCTAAGTATGGATGAAGAGCAGGCAGCAAGAAGCGGTCTGGGCTCGCTGGTAGCAAAGGCGTTACATCTCACAAGAAAACTCAGGGACATTGGCATTGACAAGGAAGAGTACGCTCTGCTCAAATGCATCATACTATGTAATGTTGGTAAGTTGTGCTTCCAGTTCCCCTTTTTTTCCCTTCAAAGTAAAGATATGTTATTGAAACTAGGTTTAAAACTCAGTCTCACCATTTTTATAGCAGTAATATCCTCACGATGGATCATTAGCGTTACCAGATAGTTGGGGCCTATAATACCAATAACCTATTGAAAGTTTCACTGTATGTTCATGAATTCATTTAGTGTGCTTAATGGTTCTGATTTTATTTTTATTTCAAGATGTTTATATTTAGTCTGTTGTGACCTTTGATAAGTATTTGTTTGAATTGGCATTTTGTAGTAGTACTTTTACTTGGTCAGCATAAGTATCTTTATCATGTTTTTCTTGTCTAGAATTATCAAGAGTGGAGGAGAACACTCACCTTGGGGAACTCCAGAACAACCTGTACGATGCCTTGCACCATCACATCATGAAGGACTACCCCGGAGACAGCCGCAGGGTCTGCCATCTTCTGTCCACCCTCCCGACGCTCCGCCAGCTCTCCTCCGAATCGGTGGACCACGTCTCCCGCAACTCGGCGGAGAAGAGCATCCCCATCCAGCAACTCTTCAGGGAGATGCTGGAATCCAAGTGCGATTAAGACTTTGGTTGAGCAATGGCAACGTGAGGTTGCTTCAAAGCCGAGTTTGATGTGAACCTAAAGAGTCCACAATGATGAGACTTTCTTGAGCCTTAATAGTTATTACTGTTAACAGGCTTCGAAGTGGAACTAACATGGTGAAAAGGGCTCCTTGTGTGATAAAGACTTTGTGGAGCGATGGCAACGGTAACTTGCTTCATAGGGGAGTAAATGATGTGCAGAGGGAGTCCAAGCGTGACTAAGGTTGCTTCAAGAACTTGAATGATGCTTGAATCGAAGTATGATTAAGAATTTTGTTAAGCAACACCCACGTGAGGTTGCTTGAAAGGGAAGCTAAGCATGTATGGATGGAGTCCATCTGTACATAGACTGTTATTGAACAACAGCAGGCTACAAGTATAAAGAAGCTTCAGAGATGCCACTTTGAGATTATTGTCAAATTTCAGGCCCTGACACCTCTCCATAAATACAGGCTTCTCTTCAGGCTCTATACTGTCGAGTATGTATGGGATTCCAACATGTCTGGGTCTTTATTCAGGCCCATCGGGTAAAATCAACCGATATCACTCCTTTAGGATCTATCAAGCTATGTAAAGTTTGTGTAGCAGTATTCTGCAAGACAAAAGCCCAACTTCTTAGCACACCTCTTCCAGATACAATGTATCTGTTTGAAGGTGAGAAATTATAGTATTCTGTAAGAAAATGAGTAAGATTTAAGATTCCCACCTTCAGAGGTATCTATGCCCCTCTACTCTACCAATGAATAAAGTTTGTGTATGAAATATGAGATATTCTGATTTTGATACATTTCAAACTTGCATTTAAGTTATGCTTGCTTAAAAATTGAATATCTTTATCAAAGTTGGTTAAATGAAAAAATCTTCATAAAGAAATGGACTATCGTTGAAACCCCCGTCGGGCTGTGTTCCTTCATGTTGTACCAGAGGGAGCTATTTTGCTGGAAACTGGTCCTTCGGATGTGAGCAGTAGAAGAACTAACTTCATTGAGAAGGCACGTAAGAGATTGCTGTTACAGTTGTTACTTGTGTTGTTTGCATGGATGGAGGCATCGAGTTCCGACTTCTGGCGTTCGATCAATGAAGAGAGATACATCCATACTGAGAAGTTTAGAGCCATTTGCAGTGACTGCCAGGAAGACGCCCAAGATCACTTGCCTTTTATGTGTCTCAAGGGTGAACAGAGCCATGTGGAGTTGCATTTGATTGGAAGCAAAAGGATATGAATGACTGTGCCATTGGCACATCACTGTAAATTGGGTCGGTGTTGAAAGAAGAAATATATTATTTTTATTCTTACTTTACAATTACGATTACGATCTATATCAGAAAATATAATTATCAGTGCAAAAGCGGTATGTGAATGTGTGTGATGGTTGTGGAGGAATTATAATTCTTTAATAATATTGCTACTATTTAGATATTTTGTTTCAATTTTTGAATATTATGTTTTTATTTTTAATATTTGCAAATTTTAGATTCATGGAGATGGTAGAAACTTAGAGTCAACTGAAACAAAACAATATAACTTTAAAACTGTTGAAATAAGACATTCATGTAACTGCCATTGTGGGGGGGGGGGGTGGGGTGGGGTGGGGTGGTGATTGTGGTAGGAGAAGGTGTCCTACAAGAATATTTACATTTTGAAGAGCAATAATACTAGGTAGTGCGATGGTAAAATATTTGATCGTAATGTTTAGACACTAAACAAGATAATAAATCAAAAATTTAATTGATATCTGTATATTTTGATGACATCACTATAAAAAAAAGTAAATTCTGATATGCATAGAATATATAATATTTTGTAAAGAAAAAAAATGTTAAAAAGAGACAGTACTAGATCAATCAGAGATCCATGTCCTGGAGATTAAATAATATTGATAATTTCATTGATAGGAAAGTTAAAAACAACAAAATAATGCACTATTAGACCATTTCATACTGTTTCTTTTCAGTTTGGTCTGCAATACGTATGCAGCGACATAGCTTTATGTAGAAAAGGTTTTCAGAAAAATATCAAGAGCTACTTAGGTGCAGATCATCTAAAAATTTCTTTTTAGAAATAGTTGCATGTATGCTGTTCTCAGAATGCTAGTAGCATGTGTACAGTCAAACCTGTCTTGGTGGCCACCTCTGTCTATAGTGGTCATGCATATTTTTCTCCCTCAAAAGAGAAATGTGTTGTAGAACCTGTCTATAAAGGCCGCCTCTCTGCAGTGGCCACTTTTTCTGTTTCCTTGGATGGCCTTCAATAATAGGCAAGTTTGACTGTAATTGACTTTATATAGATAGAAAGAACAAAAGCTATCTTGTCAATGGACATTTTTTATTTATGCCCCTTTCCTGGAATTCATATCTGAAACAGATATATACGTATCTTGCCAATTTAGAAGAAAAAATTAAAAGGTATTAAAAATAAACACTAAAAACTGAAATGATTTGAAGTTTGTAGAATTAGATTTTATGTGTTAAAACTTCTTCAGGTATTAATGGTTATCAAGCACATATGTTTAGCAATGAACAGTGTCTGCCAAAAATAGTGATAAGCCTACTAGGGGGTGCTACTTGTCAAAAAGTATAGCTGCTGAAGGTTATTAAAAAGTTGTGATTCGGTTAATATTTGTCTGTGTTTATGATAGAATAAAAGTTTGATTGATTTGTTGTGATTAAACTCCTAGATACCTTTCATGAGTTTTGAATCAGATTGACAAACATGTTTATGTTTTGAACATTTCTTAATGAATTCTATTTGCACGTGCAAGTTTACACGTACATTTAATAGTTTCATTGATATGACTGGGCTAATTCAGGCATAACGTACTAATACTAATTCACAGACATGCTAATGATTATATATCCTATGCGTCTGAATTTGCAAGTCTTGAATTACTATTAAAAGAGGGTTTGTAAATAATGAAGATTTATATTTTTAAGAATATGTACATGTATCTCAAGTTAACCAATGTGTGTACCGGTATCTGTGAAGTAATGTACATTGTATGTGTTTTTGAAATCGTCATGACGCTACTGTGATATATTCATAGTGTAGATTCACCAGATGATATTATTTTATAATGATTCCTTAAAGGAGAATATATGTGTATTCGTAAGTGAATTGTCCAGATTTAAAAAGCCTTTTTAATTTGTATTTTATATCAAGCCTAGCATTTTGGCTGGTAGTGACCCATATATATTTGTAGTTCTAACTTAATTACCCCTTCTCTCATTTTATGTCTACCCTTTTTTTGTATTTTGAAACAGGGTTATCTTTTTTTGTATGTGTTTGTAGATTGAATTGTCAGTATTATTAAAAGTGATGTAAAAGAATATAATAATTTAAAACAAATATAATTGTTAAAATGGGTTTTAAGGATTTATTAACATTAAATAGTCAAGTTTATCGAAAAATATATCCAGCTTAAAGGACAGAAGATTGCAGAATGAGAACCTTTCTAGGGCATTTTTTCTTCTTTTATTTTAGGAACCAAGTATGTATTGGGCTTAAAACATGCATTTTTTAGATGAAACATGCTTTACCATGAGAATTTTATAATCAGTTATTAACAGCCCAACTGCTCTGTAGTTATTTCTCTGAACATAATTCTTCTTTGCAAATTGTAGGTTCATGACTGTAACAACACATGGAAATAAGCTGGCAATTCATGTGCGAACATGTAATTATTAAGCGTCCCATCATTGCAAAACCAACAACTTATTGGTGATTAGATAGAAATAACTGTCTAGTATGAGGAATTCTGTAATAAAACTGACATTTGTTATCATTCCCCATACACTGCAAGCGATGCGATCAGCAATCATACACTGACTGCATTGCATAAACCTCCCCACACTACGCTGTACAAGGCGCTTCAGTCTCTGTATAGAGGCCGTCGATGGAGCCAGACGTAGTTTCAGCAGAACAACCCTCGCCGATAAAAGAGACTCCATCTTTAGGTCTAATTGGTAATAAGCTCTATCAGGCCATTGCCTCCTGTATATTAAGCCTATGGAGAATTCAGTAGTCAATGAGTGACAGATGTGCTCCTTTGTGTCATGAATGTACTAGAAATGTGTTATTTTCAACAACTAGCATACTGATAATCACAGTGGCACATATTCACAAGAATTTTGTGTTTTGCATGGTTCATAATACACTTTATCAACTGCACCTACCGTATTTGAAATTGCATCAGAAAATGCATGTGCACAACTATCTTTGTGTGATTGTTCCACGAGTAATACAAAACAGAGAAGAAATTATCATTTTCCCAGTATTCTACATTATTGTTCATAAGATTGAATCCACATCTACAGAGAAGTACTTCTATCTGTTGATTCTGATTTTGATATTGCTTGTTTTTTTGCATGTATTACCATGTTTTTAATACCGGTAGCAAGTTATGAGAATTTACATGTACATGTAGAACTTGTTTGATGTGTTTTGACAATGGAGGGAAACAGTTTCTACAAATCCTACCCCAATGAGAAATCATGTGATGTGTAAAATAGATTGTTTAAATTTTGTCTATTAAAAGCTGTGTAGCTTCGCAAATACTGGTTAACGCCGTCTACGTCTTCTTTTGGACAACTGCACGTAAGCGACTTAATCTCTTCCTTGTCAGCATTCGCAAAACAGACCGAAGTTCTCCTCACGCTTTGGTTTGGCGTATGTTGCACGCGCGTGATTGCTGCGGTTGTGTCATCCGTAGTCGTATTATAGCCGATTAGCCCGAGTCGGGCCACGGGAAAGACACATGTTCTTGTCGGTCTACACTCCCTTAAAAAAAATGATTTTAGAGCATGTCCTTGGACTTTCCTATGTCCTTTCCTCATCTCAACCCAAACTACTTCTTCAATGTAGTTCAATGCGAATTAATTTTTTTTTTTTTGGGGGGGGGGGGGTTTATGGAAACAGTATACATTTATTAGGGTCGAATGAAAGAAAATATATATTTGATGAAAAGCGTGAATGAAATTTATAAGTCATCAACTAGAGTAAAAATATTAACTACCTGATGAATGAAAAAGAGACAAACAAAAGTGTGACACAAAGAGATATAAGGATCGAGAGATGTGGATATATCAATAATTTGAGAGAAATGAAGTAAACATGTTTTTTTTCTATTTTAGAGAAAGTTCAAATATACTTTCTGTACAAGCAAGCGTATTGCTCAAATTATCTCATCCATATTGATGATGTATACAAATACTTGAAATTCTCTTACATTTATTAATGCACAATGAGCATTGTAAATAGATATATCTTGACTATTTTTCCTCATTTGCTCAAGAATGCATCATTGATGTGATGTACCAATGATTCATTTCTGATTGCGCTTCTGTGCATGATCAATCCAGAAATGCATGTCACATGTCAAATACTGGCCCAATTATGGTGATCATACATGTGTATGCCAGTATTGTTCTTATTCCCTCTTGAAAGTTTCAAATATTAGAAAAATGAATTCTTTCTACATGTACTTTGTGTAAATGTAATTATAAAATGACAGATTTCTGTATGTAAATTGATGGTTCTGACTCCAGAATTGTACATTAAATAATTTTTTCATGCAAGTTTTACCTGATGTACTAGTAGTTGTATGTGATGTGAGTTTCAAATCGCCACAGCTTTATAAATGTAGTTTCGATCATTTTGAATTTGATTGGTGTGTAGTTCATATTTGCTCTACCATTCGACCCCCTTCCACTTCACCTTCCCCCTTCTCGACTCCACCCCTTTCCCCAAGTTCTCCTCTTCTCCTCCTCTTCTCCCTTTCTCTCCCTAGTCCTGAAAATGATATTTTTATTTACAGAGATCTAAAACACACACAATTAACAGCAAGGATCAAGTAGGCCTTTATAGAATTCTTCTAATAAAATGCTATTTTGCGTCAGTTTTAATAGGTAAATTAAAATCAAATTGATGTTGTTTTACATTACACACACACATCGTGTTACAACATTACATTATGAAAATGAATAATCACAAAATACATGTAATTTCTATCATTTTTATCAATAACTGGCCACATGGATACACTGAAACATTACAATTCCCTAAAACACACAAATTGGAACACACAGCCCACACAAAACTGATGATAACCTTGAATTGACATCAGAAAAATAAAATCTTACTTGAAATCTAAGCTCGGTCTATTGTTTACAGTTTGTAGAGATTGCACAGTGACCAATCCTTTTTTTTTTCAATGACTTCTGTATCTTTGTATCATACAAACCACACTGTGTCAATACAGCCTATGCCAGTTCATTGTTTGGATTGACATTTCAATCTATTAGGAAGGCCAAAGACCAAAGTTTGGAAGAAAGAACAAACAGAATCTTTGAAAGGTAAATATATCAACCGTTCAAAACATCTTCACGGAGGGCTAACTTCAAACCTTCATCATGATAAGGGACAAGATTGGAACATATTAAGTATCTTGTCAAATACAGTGAAACCTGGTCAGAAAAAATTGTTACAACAAAATCCCATTCTAAAAGGGTATTTTCACAGCTCCCAATTTCTTTGCTGTCTATTGTTTTTTATCCCTGATATCACAAATTGTCAAGAATAGGGTTATTTCCTTTTTTGAATTTTTAAACTCCTGTTGTGCAGCATGTGTCGTGAAAGTAAGATTAAATTAACAAAATTAATTTGGTGACGTACAAAAATGGCTGACAATACCTTTAAAAACAAATATTGTGTGACTCTCTCCTGTCTTAAACCGACAACGATTAAATTCAATTAATCCAAATGAACTTTGAACTTGGTACCAAAACACATACGTACACGTGCCTAATCTAAAACTGCTACTATGCAAAATTCCAAAATGACTTTTTTTTCTGATTCCACATAAAATTGAAATACATCAGGCTATCGCCATCTGCTTCAAAATTCAGAAGTATCAAATGCCGTGATTTTATTAAAAAAAAATAATGAATACAATAAGCCTGTAGAAAGTTAGTAGTCCTGCGTGTTTGCTTTAAGTTCTCTACATTTTTTTATCTGGACGGCATATGCATATTTTTGTATCGTCAGATGTCAGGCTACCGGTATTTTGCAATATCCTGAATTGTAGAAATTTGAAAGATTGCAAATACACAACGACATTTTCTATGTATCTTCTGCACAGAGCCAGAAGGGTGTTAACTATGAGTTAACATCCTTCTGGCACCCAAACGGATGATATGCACTTCTCAAAGTAAAACTCATCAACATCCATTGGTACACTGCTAATGGGTAATATCAATTAAACAGCCTTAGCAGATTCTCCACTCTGACTACACCACAAGTTTTTATGCCTCAAAATTTTGAATCAAGTTTCCAATTGGGATTCCTACCAATCCAAGGTGATTTGTTGTCTAAGTCGAGGCAAAAACATTCTAATAACAAAGTGATATTTCTGCTTGAGGCTGAACACGTAAACCCATCTTGAAAAGAATTTGCTAAATTTGATGAGCTATGAAAACTGAACAATGTGTGCACTCATAATTAAACAAAGGTGAAAGCCTTAGAGGACAAATTATAAACAGAGAAGCGATTTCGACATATTCATGCACAGTTAACAAGTAAAGTATTCATACCCTTACCAAGTTTTGTACTTTTTGAAATACCGGTATGTCAAAATTTGATTTGTCATGATTCATGTTTTTTTTTAATGTAACATATTAAAGCTTATATCAGAAAGTATTCAACTAAGGCCCTAATTCAACCAGTCTGCCTTTTATTCTTGATTTACAAAACGCCCGCCCCCCCCCCCCCCCCAAAAAAAAAAAATAAATAAAATAAAAAAATAAAATAAAATAAATAAATAAATAAAATAAATAAAAATAAAAAAAATAAAAAATAAAAAAAATAAAAAAATAAAAAAATAAAAAAAATAACGGTAAATAAATCAATAAATCAATATAAAATTTAAAAAAAAAGAAGTTTACAAAGGGTATGAATAATTAAGTTTATTTACTGTGTGTACAGAATCAGCCCCATGCTGACTTCTAACACCCATTGCCCTACTTCTTCTCTTCTACATACACACATGTAAATCATTAGATATCGTTTTCAGCTGCACTTGTAATACATACATACGACCTACATAGTACATGCAAGACATCGGATGAAACCAAAAACGATTCTCTCCATAAACAATGTCACACCTACCTAATAAGCTGCACTAGAAGTAACTTCATACGGATATGTATCGTATTGCATTGAATAAAAGCAACGTTATCATGGTGCAAATTTCAAACAAGCGCACGTCACACAATCCAAAAGGTGCCTGGAGGTTAAGCATAAGTAATGGTATTCTGGATTACTTCCATTGTAACACTTTTTAAAGCCGACTTTGAAGATTTTGTCTTCACGGCATTCATATAGCCACAGAAATTTTTAAGTCCATCGACTATGGTCTTCTTGCATTCTGCTAGGAATAGTACAGAAACCGGCCAGTTTCTGCTAGCAATTGATTAAAAAGGATATTACCCTCTAATTTCTGTAAAAATCATTCAAGGGGAAATAGGTTTCTTTACCCCATTGACCTTCCAAAAAAAGAAGAAGATAGAATCATCAATTAAATAAATCTAGAGATATCTTACTCTTGCATGATATCAAGAGTAGATTGTCTCTGGAAATACGCAATTCTTCGAATCAAACAGCAATTTTTTAACGATTGTTGATCCTGATTATTGTATTTTTATAAAAAAATTACATTCTGACTTGCACTACTACAATGTGAAGCTGATGAACAAGCATTCTTTTGCATGTATGGTGGTATGTAGCCTTTTTTAATGGAATTATGTATTTATTTTTATTCTTGCTTTTAGCCTACCAGACTTTAAATGGAGCAATACGGATAATGATTCCATTTCAATCCACTATAAACTCTATATTCATTTGTCATTCGATGGAGAACACAATAGGCATTGTCTAATATGTACCAGTATATGGGATATTTGAATGTTTTGTCACAGCAAAGTGCTTCCAATCTCAGTTCATTACTTCATTCAAATGAGGCATTGATCGTTTTTTAATAGTTTCAACCACTGCAGAATCCCCCCAACTCCCAACCTCGAGGGGGGGGGGGGGGGGGGTGGAGAGGATTGGGGAATATTGTGCCCCCTCTCTTAACAAAATCCTTAATCAGCTACTGGTTTTGATGATAGATGATAATGCCTATTCCTTACTTCATACAAATAAGCATACAGTATTTCCAACTCTGGTTGTCTACATTTTAGATTTTGTTGATATGATATCAGAGATGTGTATTTGAGAGGCAACAATTTACTGCTTTTTTTCTTAGGCTTTTAGGAGTATAAAACTGTTGAATTCAGAAAAGATTATCGGACACCTTTAAAAAGTTTGGTAGTTTTGGCAATCTATCACAAATTCATTAATAATGACTCCTGGCATATTCAAAACCAATACTTTGCACAATTATTTAATAGCATAGTCCGAGTGTATTTCAAAGACAAACTGAGGTAATCATTACTCATATCTGATTTCTACAACATCAATTTCTTACATGATCTCCTGAGCATTTTGTACTGCATAAATAAATTGTAAAAAAGAGATGGACTTTCAACTAAATATTTTAAAATATCATTTTCACATGGCCCACTTCAATATCAGCAAATTCCTATGGTTTGAAAACAAATTAAATAATATTTTTCAGGTACCCATGAAATCATTTATGATATATGAAAGCATTTATGATATTGCATTCATCAGTGTACTCTAATCAGAGCTTGATTTCCTTATGTTTAATAGCAGCAAGCAAAAAGAGATGAGAAAGATGAATGTGACAAGTATTAATTTGATAGTAGAAATATTAACATGTTTCTAACTGATGCAGATGGTAAGGCTGATGATTTCTATCAAGTGTTGAAAAGTACAGAGCAATATACCACAAAACACCAATAAAACTTTAAAAGTCGTATTTCACTTTTAACCACTTTTTTGCAGATCATGAATATGAATTTAAAAAGAAACAGAGAGAGAAAAATATCAGATACATGTACTTGCAGAATGCATCAAAAGTAAAAACCTTTCTTAAGATTACCATCTTAAACAGCAGACATATTTCATTTGGAGCCCGCTTCCTACAGCAAAAGAGATATAAAGTAAAGTGTATCATTGGAAGTACTTTAATAAAAGGAGAATCCATCATTTCTTGCTCCTCTACAACAAGATCCGTTCTCCTTGTTGACTTTCGCACATCTGGCGCCTGTACAACAAAACTTAGCGATTGATTGTACCAACAAGTGATTGTACATCATTGCAAATTAGCAATCTATTGCTAAGTTATCTTTGTGTTACAGGCCTAGATGTGACTTTGCAATCACTTCTCCTTTCTATTTGGATGTCTGTACAATCACAACCCCTCTGGGGCGGGGCAAACGCTGCATTGGTTGAAAGCATTGTAAGGTTTGTAGTGCGGGACTAAGTCTCGTCCTCTTCTTCCGTTCTTGAACTCGGCGATGTACCTGTATAAAACATAGAGGTCATAGATAAGGTCACACAAAGGTCAACATGACAGTCGGGGAGAATATCAAAGCATAGGCCCAAGAGAAATTCAGACGAGAATTGACAAAGGGTCAATTTTTTAAAATGTTAAATAACATATTATATTGTATAGCGCATAACACTTTATGAAATAACATCTCTATCCGCTTCCAAAGAGCTTAAACCTGCTCCATACATGTATAGCGACCAAATGTATAAAATATTACTACCACCTGTATACAATTATGAAGACCATACTATGACCCCCTCCCCCACCCTTTTTAACGATTTTTCTCACAGAATCATGTTTCGAAAGAACCTGGGCCCTTTCGCACAAAACTTACCATTGATGGTAACTTTGCCATCAATGGTAACTACCATGGGCTGTTGAGCCCTGTTACCATGGTAGTTGCCATTGATGGCAAAGTTACCATCAATGGTAAGTTTTATGCAGCAGGGCCCTGGACACAGAAACCATCAACCCTCAAAGACTGCCACTCTCGTCTCCCTTGAGTGGTCTTTATAAACAGGTCAACTATGACCAGGATAACACAGCACACCTAATGCTACGGTCACAAAGGTTCGTAAGAACAATAATTTTGTACAAATCTCTGTTTTTCCATTGTCTTCACGAATTTCCATTGTCTGAAAATCGTTCGTACGGCGTTTGTAGCAGTTCGTAATGGCATTTGTGACCGAGGCATAAGCTCCCCCCTTTCTGTTATCTTTTCCTTTTCAAAATGGAGATTTTCAAACAAAATTTGTTAAAGGTCACTAGCAAAAATATACCATTTTTGTTTTCTCTACCCTTCTGCTACACACAAGAGATATATTTGACACAGTTGTATCTAGTTTCTTACCTTCTAATGGGAAGAAAGTGGGGAGCAGTCTCTCATAGACCTTCAAATCCCTGTCTAGAAATATGCAGAACACTATTCTATCCACCTGTAAACATGAAAAACAAGATCAAATGAGCACAGATCTTAAAGCATCAGTAGAATGTAACATCACACAAAAGCAATAAATGAAGTAAGTAACTTGCAATACAAGTGTAGCTTGAAACATGTCTTCTTTTAACATATTATATGATGATAAATAAAGCATAAAATACATGTACAACCATTTCAAGAGAATAGGAACCAGAAAACAGTATAAATGATGATTGTCCATAGTATGTTTGTATGAATGATTCATTTATGCTAAAGGTAATGCCAATTGTTCATGTTATTAACTAAAAAGTGACCTTGTGGGTTAGAGTAGGCTTGTCATGAATAAAACATTATTCTTGATAACCAGAAACATATCCAATATCCAATTAGTGCAAAATATATTACCATCCACATATATTTCTGACAATCCATTAATTATCAGATTATTGAAGGTGGGTTAATGCTTCATTCTTTCCACTTAGATTACTTAGTTCAAGAATGTAACTCTACCTAATGGTAATACATGATGTTATTATTTATTTTAACCTAGGATTTTGTATATTTGTAACATATTACTGTGTAAAGCACTTTAAACTCCTTGTATTAAAGTGCCCCCAAAAAACAATCTTTTATTTTTTATTATCATTTATGTCTGGGGGAGGGGTTTGGTGTCCGGGGCATAGTTTGATGAAACTATCACAAGTACAAGCTCACCGGCATCCCTTTGAAACATGTGTTAATCTAAATACACGTATTTCAATGGAATGGCGTCGAACTTGTACTTATGACAGTTTCGTGAGACGCTACCCAGGGGTCGTTGCTTTTAGTTCTTACCTCCTCTGGGTTTTCTTCAAGCCATTCTCTGACCGTTCCTAGTGCCACCCTACTGGCCTCTTCCTGTGGGTAACCTGTCAAAAACAAAGAGAGAGAGAGATTTTATGTCAGGGAAAATTATAAAGTAATACTGAGATTACGGTGACATTTAGTGTATAATGCCATAACGTGTACAGTTATAAGCTGGGCAGAAACACCACTTGTACTGTTACTAGATCAAGGTTGTCACCAAGATGAAATGGGGGAAAAATCTAAAATTCTTTTCTTTCTAATTTATTTACATTCATGAAACTATCACTTTGGGCGTGCTGACATGCAAAGACCCATCTTCCTACACAGTTCTTCTGCTTTAAAACCATCAAAACAGGATGTGATTTGTTATGTATGAGCCACATTTGACATGGTCCACAGCGAGCTTTATACAGCGGGTTAACTGATTTTTTTTTTCTGCTACAGTCATGCATCCACAACTGAACTTTAATACTCACCATACACTCCTGTTGATATACAGGGGAAGGCAACTGAGCGAATTAAGGGTTCCACCGTTTCCAGATCCTCCTGGAGCGTCTTGAAATTACTGTCTCCCTCTTCTTCCGACGCTTGCCTCCCATTGGCCGAAGCGTCCTCCTTGCTCTCTTTCTCTTTGTCGTCTTTCTCGTCTTCCGTGCCCTCGTCTCCCTTCCCAGCATCCTCTTTTCTCTTGGCCGACTCTAGCTTTGATCGGTTGTGTTTGTTGTGTTCTAGGATTTGGTGGAGGCACGTTGCATAGCAACTGGTTAGGTCTTCTCTGTGGTTGGTCATCGGTTGGCCGTACACCATCGGTCCTACCGTGTGCAAAACATCTGTAGGGGTGGAGAAATTAAATTGGCAACGTGCCTTCATGATGATTAAAGAGGCAGAATATTCAATTGCTTTTGAAATCTGAAAGGCATAATGCATCAATGGTCACTTTGTTTAAAAACACCATCGGCATAACCGTGTGCAAGACATCTGTAAGGGTGGCAATGTCATCAGAGAAAGTAAATTGGCAACGTGCCTTCATGATGATTTACAGAAGCAGAACCTGATTCAATTGCTTGTGAAATCTGAAAGGCATAATGCATCAATGGTCATTTTGTATGAAAACCCTTTGAAATTCCATGGCCATATGGTTTACATATTGTTGTTTAAATTGTTGCTCCGAAATTGTGGGGGTTGTGACTTGTGAGGGTGTGAAATATTCCAGCCACCAGGCTTTGGGGTAAACTGGTTGACTACTGAATTTTCTTATTCACTTATAGAGTAGTTTTAGTACAGGAACAGAACAATGAGGTGCATGAGAAACAACACATTAACAGCATAATAATTCTTTACTTCACAATTCCTCCCAAATATTACAACATTATACGTTAAAAAACGTTCGCTAGGGAGGGTCTAGAGGGGTAAGGAATGAGAGAATGAAATTCCTAATTCTTCGACAGTTTTAGGAACAAAATTATACGGAATTTAGAAAACAATATGATATATACTTACATCTAGACGGTAATAGATAACCTGCGAATACAAAACAAAGAAAATATTAAATTCTGTTCTGAACAAAGTATGACATAAAAAAGCCCAAAGACATATATTTTGCAATATAACAATCAAATGTTTCTCATTCATGAGTTGTGTATATACAGCATTGTAAATATATGGCATTTCCTGGTAGACTACTAGACTTGGAAGAAATCAAAACTACCACTCAATAAGCATACTTCAAACTATTAGTCTGCGGTATGAACTGACAGCTTAAAGTACTCGTAGTACTTATTCTTTCATCTTGACAATGAAACCAGAAGTTGTGCATTCTATCTGTTTCTTTGTTTCATATTCACTGTTAGTTAAATCAGAATCGTATGAAGATTATTGGTGTGCAATTATTCCACGAACATAAAAACAGATTGAGCGAAATACATAAACAAATCAAAATATCACTTTATTGTTTGGGTTTAAATCAAAATTGTGTTATCATTTCCAATGCAATTGTTATGCTTTAGGACTTAGTATCCTATAAATTTGATAAGAAATTAGGGTAAAGCTTTAAAATAAACAAATATCCCTGACAACAATAAGAAATTAAAATTCATTTACTTGATTGTTTCAAATACATCCTTACTTGAAGAGATTTTTATATTTTTTTGTAATTCAGTTGTTTGAATACATCCTCATGCAAGTTACAATAGCTCATGCAGGAAAGCTGTTTAAATCTACATTTACCCTATTCGACCCGTGTGTAGGATGTGGATACCTAGCTGGTAGGATTTATTCCTTGAATGCACCGAGTGCTACAGTAGCCAGAGCTAATACTGAGCTAATAATGTGTATAAGTCCTTTTAATAGAAGCACATAGGGATATATTATTTCATAATGTGGTATCAGATACAAGAACTTAAATATCATCATTATACAGTGAAACCTGTCTATAAAGACCACCTAAGGGAGACAAGAAAAGTGGTCTTTACAGGCAGGCCGCAGGTGGTCTTTGTAAACAGGTGCCTATAGTACATGGATCAATGAGAAACCATTTTCAAGGGAAACCAAAAAATTGGTCTTTGTGGACAGGTGGTCACTAAAACGGGTTTGACTGTGTCACAAAAGGGAACCTGTACAGACCTGCAGTGAGTTTGGCATCTCCTGTTTCACACCCAGCTAATTTTTTACATTCTTGGAGAAGATTAGACCCAGCGGCACGGTGTATGGCTCCATCAACTATAGAAGTCAAACAAAAACAAGAATTAACTTTAATTTATACACATGTTTTATTCCGTGGAAACAAAGCTAGGAAAAAAAAGCAAAATTCATTTTCTCAACTAGAGTCGGCACAGAACAAGCATGTCAGCTGTCTAAACTCTGTCTAGAACTTTTAGTTTCAGTTTCAGTTTCATTTTCATTTTTGGCTTTATATTTTCATACATCTATTTCACATTTCTTATCAGTTTGGTTCACAAGAAATATAATAATAAAACAGATCACATCAATAGGCTTGTTTGTAATTACCAGTAATGGCGCCAAAGGGTAAATATGCTAAGTGTGTTGGCTGTAAGCTCCAAAGGGCAATGATTTTACAAGCCTATGTTGTGTAAACAAACAGAACTATGAGAGAAAAGGAAAGTAAATGCAATACTACCAAAAATTGAGCAGTACAGAAAGACAAGAAAAGTTACCTACCTCCCCCACCTCCTAGTAGAGATCTGTTAGCTGCATTGACGATGCAGTCCACATCTAACTTTGTGATATCTCCCTGCCATACACTCACTCTGTTATTAAGGTCTGATTTAGCTGCTGATGTAGACTCTACAAAAGATATTGGGGGAAAAAAGTTCAGAGTTGATATGCACTTAGAACAAAAGCTTTAATCTCTAATATCGATGGTTGTTCCGTTACTGAGGCTATGTTTGGCTCCACTTACCGACTCTTGATGGGGATGGTTGACAATTGTCAGTTTTATTGAAAAATTCGCCAAACAAGTCAGTTATTTCTGTCTAATATACACTTTACCATCTTAATTGTATTTCCCTTACTCTATATTCTGGTTCAGAACCGATACTTTAATGCAGCAAATGGATCCCAGAGCCCATTTTAAATAATGTCAAAGGCACCGAAAACACTATTCAAGTGATACATGAACATATCCATACACATCCTTTCTTCTAACCAAAAATAAAATATAGCCATTCAGCCAAACATCATTAAAACTGTCTACGGTAAGCTGTTATACATTTTAAAGACACATAGTCGTTGGTCTTCATGGGGAATTTGACCCCATTATGGTGTTAACCCAATAACAGGTGTCACCTGTATCACCAAGAGTGGATTTCTCTTTTACAACAAACAGCGCGGTATTATGTATTAAATGGGCTGTGCCCTATCCTACCACTTTATGGAATTCTCATCATATAACTCAAATTTTCCTAACTCTCACCCGCCCGATATAGTTGGAATACTTTTTGGTGGGACCATGGGTTGCTTCAGAGACCTTTGCACACATACAAATTAATTGGTTCTTCAACCAAATCTAGTGTCTGCAAATTATGATGCAATACACCATGGAGACTGACTACTATGTGGCTTTGTGGTTTTAAATCTTTAGAGCTCATCGACCACAAGTATATTTTCACCCATGAATCCACAGCAATGTCTTATATCAAAACCCAGAATTTTGAAATCTCTGAAGAAGAAAAAAATAAAAGTGGTTAATCATATATGAGACTATTTGATCTTTGAAAAATGTTTGCATCTACGTATATCTTTTAATTATTCCTGATATGATAATAAATTGATGATAAAATGAAGTTGAAAAGGGTGATGAGAGAATGGAAGGTAAAATAAATTGATGGCATTTATCTTCAGTCCTGATGGAGTGTCCAATCCTGTAATAGAGCATCATGACGAGACTTTAGCAAATCATCAAGAGTTCTTTTCTTTGACTTACTCTTTGCTTGGGGAGTGTCCAGTCCCATGTCCTCTGCGTAGTCTGGCCATGTCAAGACTTCTCTTAGGTCTACCAGGTCCTGCCTATACCACCTCGCCTCCTCTGCTTTCTCATCCAGTGTCTTGTTGAGATAGAGAGCTGGGTATAAAACACAGAAGACAACAAATCATAACAAATCTGATACAAACAAGGTGGTTACAGAGACTTAATGGATATTGAAGGTTGAGTTATGCGTGGTGGTGTGTATTAATTCATTCTCTCGCTCTGCATTCATAACCTGTTTCACCTGTACTTCTCGGGACTCTACTCACCAAAAGTATTGTATCAAACCATATTATGTTCATGAAAATGTATGATGAAAAAAGAAAAAAAAAGATGCAGAAACCAATAAATCAAATCAAATCAAATCAAATCAAGAACACCTCTCTTACTTTTGCTACCTCTCCCTATACAAAGTAAGTAATCCTCCAAACGACGAAACCAAAAGAAAACCTCTCTTTGTCTCTCTCTCCCTCTCTCTTCTTTCCCCTTGAAAACACAACAGTCTTTTTTAGTACAACCCACATGGTGAAACCGCAAACTTGTCAATATGTTTTTAACCAATTGTAATGAAAGTACCGGTACAATGTTTACAGAGTTTGATGGTAATCAGAGCATCTCATAGAAATCATATCAATAAAATTCAGAATAGTGCACTCCTTATAACTACTTGGAAGTATGTTTAGCATCCACCTTATCATATCATATCATATTTTATTCGGAATATATACCAGTAGGTTCTCCATCTTCCTTAGATAACACCTATTACAGATAAATCCTACTTTCTTTATCATAAGATTTCTGTGTAAAATGCTTGGAGATATTATGTGTTAGGAACAATATAAATCAAGAATATTATAATCGTTATCAATTTGGCCTTTGGGGGGGGGGGGGGGGGGGGGGGGGAGGAGTGTGGTAAACGCTTACCCTGTATTTACAGTCAAGCTCTCTAGGACAAGAGGTATAAAGAAATATGTAACAATTTTTTAAACATGGAAATATATCCAATTTATCCATAGAGATGTGTTCATTCTGAATGTATCTGATTGCTCTTGTAATGAACAGATATAAAGTTAGGCTACTCCATGAATGGTATCAAAATCTATGTAAGGGTAAAATGAAGCCATCTAAATGCTGTGTACAGCAAAGCAGCTACTAATACTAAATTCTGTATTTCACACATAAGAATTAATTGGTAAGTCATGATTGCAGTTGTCAGTTATCTGAATTCGTTTACAAAGGGAATGAAATTGGTATACTTATCTCTTTTATATTTTATAGAAAAATAATCAAACAATGCTTCAAGGTATCTTATCTAACCTACAACTGTAGACTCAGAGCACTCGTTGCGCAATCCCAAGTATTTCTGAGCAATATAAGCTGAGTATATTGCACAAAGCTTTCTGCCTGACTATGCCATGAGTAAAATATGCTAACCGCACAATCAATGATGACCGATAATAGTATGACGTACAGTTAGCTTTTTTTGTTAATGTATATCTTCAATAGACAGAGACATGATAAACTCAGATACACGAATTGTAATATAACACAATGTTACAGACTTCTCGTTCTTAGATCACAAGGTATGCTTATGTTTACATACCAATGACATGGAAATCAAATTTTGGAGAATAGACATAGACGTACCCTAGTACTATTTGTGTGCATCAACTCCTACTCATACTATTCAGTCATAGAAACAACCAATAATAATTTGTAATAAAGTATACATAGGTATATATATATATATATTGAACATACTTTTATATATATATAGATCTAGAATCTATATAGATCTAGTAAAGCATGAATTTGTTCAAAGTTTGTGCAAAGTTAGTTTCCTGATCAAGATCTAGAGTCTATATAGGGGGTCTAGGCATTTTTTCTTCAGATATGAAATTCATTTCCACAGCTCCAATGGTGGCTTAATAGCTCAGGGCAGTTTGAATAACAGTAATTTCAAAAATTAGATTCCATTTTATTTTTAGCTGAATTCATAAATAGGCTAGTTTCAATCAAGCAACATGTTTAATCACATGATCTAAACATCAAAGGAAGCGTGATGCCCCCGTGTGATGCACGAGGCATGACCACGCCCCCACCACACCCAACCAAGGCCCGAAATCTTTCAAACCTACCTCTTGTTTTCTTGACTTTAGCCAGGGAACCCGAGGCTGGTTCATCAGTGTAAAACCGGCGGAGACTTGGGGGCAAGAAGTCTTCCATGTTGCAAACTTTTGATGTTAATAATCCAGGTCCACTAGCAGATGCGTGTAAGAATGGATGCTTGAAGTTGATGACAGCGGTGTAATTTCGGTGACGAGATGCCGAGCAACAAGAGCCGACAGCAGCAGCAGCAGATAAAGAGGAACCTTTCGAAGCTCCCGCAAATACCCGTATAGAATGTTTGGTGTTGGGATAGAGTATCTTTGCCACGGCTAAATGCATGAATATAACGGATAGCAAGGACCTCGGTAAGTTAATACAGCTCAGTGTATTTCACAGTTTATTCTCAGCGAAGGGACTTTCCATGTTTACAAAAGGACCGACATGACACGGAAGTAAACGAGCTGCGCGCGCTATCACACTCGAGCCGCGGGAAATTCAGGCGAGTGGCAGCTGTTGCACATTTTGGTAGTCGAATGACTCGAGCCGAGCTACCCGACTCAGCTAGCTAGCTCTGCCTCCAGCTTTGGCTGAGCTACAGTGACAAATACGCTAAGCCCCCGACTCATCTTTTCGAAATCTCGTGGAAGTAAGTCAAAAGCGTTTTGTGATTTCGAACTTGTTTATCTCCGACTCTGTTACTTTCTAAGATTAAGTGAAGGCATGAGATGAGCTTGAAAAGGCTGAATGCATGGTGTATTTTTTATGAAATTTAAATTAAATTTAAAATCATTAGATTCCTGAAAAGTGGAAATTGTCAGACACTGAATTAATATGACTTATGAGGTCGAGTTTGGGAATGGGGAGAGAAGGATACCAAGGTCATACTCATACTACCTAGTCTAGACTATTGTCTTGTCTTGAGCATGCATGGCCATGTAGACTACTCTATAATAAATTGACATGGAATTAAACATCCCCTAACACTAATGACTGAGAAAGTTTGCCCCCAAACGGGCTGGACTATGACCAAATAGATTCCCCAAGTATAGAGGCGTGGGTGACTTAGAAAAAAAATGTAATCTTGACTTTGTTGATCTAGACCTAGAATAGTCTAGTACTTGGTAGTCTAGTAAGAAATAATTTTTTTTCTTCAATTCAACAAGGAGGCGAGTTTGCTCAGTCGGTAAAGCGTCCGTCTGTCGAACCAAATTAAGATCCCGGGTTCGATTCCCACCCAGGCAGATGACTGAAGCCTGCGTTGTGTGTTAAATTGCCCCTTCTCCTTGTTCATAGACGCAGGTTAAGTGGATAACACTCCGTCCCTCGGATAGGACATTAAATGGAAGCCCTGTGTAGAGAAGAGTCGCTACTTTTGCACGTTAAGAACCCAGTACTGCACTTTTCGTATAAGAGTAGGGGGAAACCCCGGTGTAGTGGTCCACCTGCATACACCCCCAGTATATAGTAAGAGGTCTGTACTCAAAGAAGAAGAAGAAGAAGTTGACTAAAAACTAAAAAAGTTTTTGACCCATTTCACCCAGAGCTTTCAAATAATATAATTTTCAATCAAACATTCATCTTTTCCTTTTGCTACAGCGCTGACAGGAATTTCCAACTTTCACCATGGCTTTGTGTGTGGATGGGAAATCATTGGAGAGTGTTGGGCCCGCTGCACTTCACCTGATGCCATGCACAGTAGAGGGGAATGCGGAGGCAAATGTGTCTCAATTCTTCACACCTGCTATAAGACAGAGCGAGGAAAGCCTGGGCACGACAGGTTTGTCTAGTTTGTTGCCGTCAATGAATTTTTGAATTAAACTCATTAGATTTAATTTGAACATTCAATAAATGCTTTAATTGCAAGAGATTTTTTTTTTTGGAGGGGGGGGGGGGGGGGGGGGGGGTGGCTGGATGTTTACTTAAGATTTACTTAAGAAAGTTAATTGGCCTAAATAATTTAGGGAGAACTTGTTTATTGCTTCAGAATCCGCACTGTATCTTTGCCCTATAGGCTTGAACACATACATTTAGATAACTCTCTAAATATAAAATGTTAACAAGCAATAATGCAGTCATCAAATTCAAAGTGATAATACCTAATGAGATTTGATTAAAATCCTCTTTGTTGTGGCACTTGGGGAACAAATCCCACATGAAAAATAGTTTCAAACAGATTTTTTCTAAACCTCAGTGGCACATAATGGGTCAATGTTTTGATGTGTAAATGATTATCAATAACTTGTTGCCACTTTCGTCCCTTTTACCACTTAAATGAAACTATAATTTGTGCATGATCTCTCTCTCTTTGAAACACTAGTGTGAAGAAGGAAAAGAACGAAACCAAAAATCAAGCACAAAATTCAGATTCTTGATGAAAAGAAAAATATTTGTTCTCTTTTTAAATGTCTTATTCTAGGTCAGCAGGTTTCATTTCGTGGTAGACTCCTAAGAGGTCATGAGATGCCTGTCCCAGAGGGTTATAAAGGTAAAGTTAATTAGAGTTTGCTTGTAAGCCTTGTATAATAAGAAATGAGGTTTAATGCTGACAACCCCCCCTCCCCTTCCCATGCCCCCTTCCTACATCCTTGGTGAAAAAATGTATTTATCAAAGATGGTGAATTCACTAAACTGTCATTCTCTGATGATCTTGTGAATAAAGAATCCTCGTTAACAAAAGGGGGGGGGGGGCATTGATATGTCTTGGTGGAATGGGGGGGGGGGGGGGGAGTTCTCCAGAGTCAACTCTATTGCATGCAGTAAAAGCTTGCAGTGAAAATGGAGACACTTTCATTTCTTTATATTTGATTTTTGTTTGTTAAATCACACATCTCTTAAAGGAAACCAAAACCTTCATACTAAGTTACTTTTATTGTAAAGTTTAAAAGATTTGAATAAAATCAGTGAAAATTTGAAAAAAATCGGGCATGGGGTAAGAAAGTTAGAGCTTTTTGAAATGACTAGTCACTAGAGGGCAGTATTCAATTTGATGACATCATCTGTGAACAACTCTCCAAGCCTTTTGTACATAAAATTTCACAATTTTGTTGTTTTCTTTGTATTTATTTGTGTTCTAGATCCGACTTCATAACATGTGAAGTAGAATATCATTTTGCATTCTATATCTTGCTTTCAGGGGATTACATTATCTCAATCACAAGAAAGAAGGAAAAACATGAAATTTGGTGTACAAAAGGCATGGAGAGTTGTCCACATCATCATGATGTCATCAAATTGAATACCGCCCTCTAGTGACTAGTAATTTAAAAAAGCTCTTACTTCCTTATTCCTTGCCCGATTTTGTTCAAATTTTCACTGATATTTTTCAAATATCTTAAACTTTACAATAAAAGTTACTTAGTATGAAGGTTTTGGTTTCCTTTAAGGTATCTCTTCATTTAATACTCCAGTTCTGAAGAGTCCATGGAAAACATTTTGTGTGATGGATTTTACATATATACAGGGTAGCTGAATTTCTGTGCATTTAATTGAATTCAAATAAGAAGCAATAGAGATGAGAGAAACTTTTTTTTTATTAAAGTCACTAATAGTATCATAATTTCATGCCTATGAGTTGAAACTATTCAACAGGATGGGATTTTTGGTTTAAAAGTTTCTCTTTCTTTCTCTCCTCAGGTGTGATTCTCAAAGAACCAAGTAAACCTTTTACAGAAGATGAGGTAATAGACCGGTTTACTTAACATATTCAAATCTATGGATGTTTCTTTCCTGGGGACCTAGTGACGAGTTATTCCATTAACTGGTTATTAACGAATGAACTACAATACTTGGAATCCAGTCGGCATTCATTGATTGTTGCTATGTCAGGCAAGCTTTCGGGTTGTCAAAAACATCCTCTGATTAAAAAGTATGCATAAAATTTGAATATATGTCTATTTTTTTCATTATTTCAAACAACATATATACATTATATTTTACAACAGGGCTCATATTCATACAATTTAGCCTAGTTTTCAACTGTGTACTATATAGTAGACTGGTCTATTTATGAATCTTGGCCCAAATGAGTAATTAAGCCTTACTAAAAGCTAGTATGACATAAGCTATAGTACACAGTTGAAAACTAGGCTAGATTGTATGAATATGAGCCCTGTTGTAAAATATAATGTATATTTGTTGTTTGAAATAATGAAAAAAATACAGGGGGGGGGGGGGGCAAGTCTTAAGTTATTTGGTTAATTTGTGTCCGATATGTTATCAAATATGGTAGAATTCTGAACATAAATTATCATCACATGCGTCAGTCACATTGTATTTGGTCTAATCCAAGCCTTATAGACCATTTTATAATTACTAGTAGCCTTTTTGGTAGGACATATTTCAAATGACCCTGAATGACCCTGATATGAATTTTGCTCATTTTCATTACTTCATATGCACATTTTACCCAGGATCGTACATTGAGAGCAACCCACAGTTTTGAGAAGTTTACCTACTGGAATTTAGAAACAGCGCCCTCTACCAATGACACAATTCAACGAGCCATGGCCTGGACTAGCATAGCATCTGCAGTAAGTATTTACAAAATGTTACTTTAAATGATTATCTGTTCTAGTTTACAGGAGGGATTAGACCACCCTGCAAGGTCACTGGACAGGTGGTTATCTCATCAACTCAGCTCTCAGTTAACATAAGAAAAAGAGGATCATGGGGGACCAATGGTCACTGATTAGGCATTGTGTGTTATATAGAGGGCGCATGTAGCTACAAGTAGTGCAGTGGGCCTTTAAGCACTTGTCATGAAAGTATATTTATTTTATGTGATTCTAGAACAATTGTTCCATGGACTGTAACCCTTCCCTGCCCCTCCCCCACCCCCACCACCCCTCCCCTCTCCCCCACCAATCCCCTACCCCCACCACCAATCCCCTTTCAAATAACTACTGCCTCAATTAACGTAACCAAAGGTCCATCTAGTTCTCCTTTGCATTTGTGAGGAAGATATGTTTTTTTTTTTAATCAAAGATTTCTCTGCATATTATAGCATCTTCATTATAAAGGCTACTTCACACAAAAAAATGACTATTTCAACGAGCTGGTTACTTCAAATCAACTGGGTTAAAGTTTGCTTCTTACTCGACTCGTAGACTGAATAGTAGCAGCAGAATTGTAAATATGAATATCTCAGAAATTTGAATCCTGTACAGAAGGGCTTACCAGTAAGAAAATAAAGACAGTTATATGGCATTAGGTTTTAAGAATATGTAATGAATGATGTATGTGTTTGTGTAGCAATGAGGACCAACTTTCCTTTTTCCCTTTTTTTTTTCTCCAGTTGCACAGTCCGGTAGAATCTGATAAGGCTTCCCTGGAATCACAGAGTAGTGTGACTGGCTGCAGATGAAGACTCTTCCGTTCTCTACCTCCTACGTCAGTGCCAGATGTCAGGCTTCCGCTTGATTTCATACCTTGTCACTTCTCTGTTTCAGGCTTTTTCAGACTAGTACTTGAGAAAAACAAAATAAAATGACATCCCTACCTGCTACGGCTGTGCCAGATGTCAGGCTTTCGTTTTATTTTTTAATGCCCTGTCACTTCTCTGTTTCAGACCTCTCAGGCTACTTGAGTAAAACCAAATAAAATGTCATCCCTCCCTGCTTCTTAACCACTCACGTCTTACCAAGGGTCTGAAGATGACTTTCTTTTCTTGAAAGACCCTCGAGATAGAAATTCTTATGTTAGGACACTGCAATGTCAACCATTGGCCCATGTCAGATACGCGATACATGATACTTTAAATCAAAGAAAATATTCTCAGTCTCGAAAATGAAGATATTAGTGACTCAAAAAGTAGATATCAACAAAGGTTTTTGTTTACAGCACATAGACATCCAATAGAATCCCATGCATGCATTTTTATCGCAGTATAAGGTTGCCATTGTGAATAACGCTAAATTATATCTTCTTCTTTTTTTGGGGGGGGGGGGAGGGTCTATTTTTTTCTTCTTGAACATTATTAATATTTTAAAGAAATGCTTGGATTGTTTTATCCTGTGGTTTTATTCTGGAGACCTTCAGAAGATTTAAATTTCCCCTTTCTTGTTTTGAGAAGTTTGTATATCTAATTTCCCCTTATGAAGATTTGAGTATGTGGCTTTAGTTTCTTCCTTCATGGGGTTTGCGTTATTATGTTGATACTTTCCTTTAAAGTCTTGTACTGAGGCACTGCTGAAAAGTGGTGCAGAATCTGAATCAGAGGTTTTAGGGTTCTAATCCTGACCCAATGATGATACCCGTTTTTATGTGCGAGGCATTTTATGTAGAGTTGTTTCTCTTGATACAGGTGCAGCAAAAGGATTGCGGTAAACTAGTGTAGAGGAAGTATAATTTCGAGAGATTCTCTCTGCTCTGTGTGTTGCCAAAGCTAGCTAAAGCCACTGTATTTATTTTTTTATTTTTTTTTAATAAACAAGTATCATCAGTTTATTTCATACTTTATCACAGTAATAGTATAATTTGAAAATGAGAAAATTGTAAAAATGAAATGTTAATTAAAAAAAAAAGGATTTGACAATATTTCTTACAGCAACAAATCTGTCATGTAACAAATTTTTGTCATATTGATATTTCCTTGTAATAAATTTTGTAAATAAATAAAACAATAAAGACTTAAATTGTGTTTACTGGCTTTGTATCGTAAAATGAGTGATGTAATAGTGCTGCATTGGCAGAAGCTCGAGATAGAGCATTGAAAGTTGAGATCTGTTTGTATATTGGCACACCGTCTTGTTTCTTGTTTGTTGGATCTTATGTTTGATCCTATGTTTGACCTCATGTCTTATTTTAATTTTTATTATTACATATGCATGATTTATTGAATAAAGAACAGATGTATAAGTTGTGTGTTTATTATAAGTTTTGGTAAATAATTTTTTAGTTAGACTATGGTGCGCTTTAGAGACACCAGTATTAAGCGCCTAATAAATATTGTGTATTATTATTATTATTACATGTAGGAATGAAGTATAAAAACTCCCATTTTTATTTTAAAGTGGGGTTTAACTTATTGTGCTTAAAAATGTGACACAGGCTGTAGATATGAGGGGGTGCCTTTGCACAAAAATGGAAACAAGATTAAAAGTACTGATAATCAGTGAAAATCACGTAACCACATGCATCGTATGGAAATGTGTATGGTGCTAGATAATTCAAAATTTTCACGCTACTTTTGGGCAATAATAGATTATAATTTAGTTAAGAGCTACATTATTCATACCCTTACCAAATTTTGTAATATTTTAAGTATGTGAAAATTTATTTGTCCAGATTCACATTTCTTGAGAATGAAACACAACGTCAAATTAACAAGTGGTATGAATAATTTAGTTGTTAAATGTAGGTACAGTATACTTCTGCTAGTGCTTTAAAAGAAAATGGATTTGTTTTTTTTCTCAGTACTTTCCTGCAGTATTACGGTAGAACTTACTGCTTTTCTATGATTTGAAAGTGTTGAATATGGAAACATATATGTATATATTTCAAAATACATTTGCACAAGTTAGGTGTGTATGAGGAAACATAATTATCCCCTTATTTATTTCCAAATCATCAATTTTGCTGACATTTCATTTAACATCAGATTGTTATTACCCAGATTTACACATCCAGGAAAAAACATGTATTATGAAAAAGAATATTGAGCAACATTTCTCTCTTGTATTACAGAACATTTCAGTAGTTTATACAGACACATATTGAAAAAATAGAAATCTCTAGATTCTTTAATTCCTACTTAATCACAAAACACATAGGAGCAAAGGATATTTCAGCACTTTGCTTGCACTCCCGGCCCCCCCCCCCACTCAATGTTATTTAGGGTACGCATATGCGTGTTCCCACCAACCCCCCCTTTTCAGCAAAAGTCCGGTGTGTTAAGTCAATACGGCTCGACCTTTTTCTTTTGTATACGAGCCTTTTTCAGCACCCCCCCCCCCTTTTCAGCAAAAGTCCGATGTGTAAAGTCAATACGGGTCGACCTTTTTCTTTTGTTAGGAAATGACATTTTGGCAACACGCATGGGGTCCGTCCGTTCTCGGAGTGGGGGGCCGGGCTTGCACTATCATTGATTTTACGTATCATCTCTCAAACCCAAAGTCGGGTTGAAGAAAGTTTAAACATGATAAAATAAAAAACTAGATGGAATTTTGACTGCGCGCAGTCGAAAATAATGCCTCCGCCATAGAGCAATTTAAACAAGTTTGGAGTTTAAATCTCCAGTGGTTCTTGAGATATCATGATAACAATCTCAATGTATGGAATTTCATAAGCTGACCTCTATGACCCTTGACCTTTGACCTACGTGCTCCAAAATCTAATCAGATTGTCTTCCTATGGTGATACACACTATCATTAAGTTTGAAGTTTAAATCTCCAGTGGTTCTTGAGATATTATGATATGGTGATACATACTATCATTATGTTTGAAGTGAAAATTCTCCAGTGGTTCTTGAGATATCGCGATAACAATCTCAATGTATGGATTTCATAAGTTGACCTCTATGACCCTTGACCTTTGACATACGTGCTCCAAAATCTAATCAGATCGTCTTCGTATGGTGATACATACTATCCTTGAGTTTGAAGTTTAAATCTCAAATGGTTCTTGAGATATCGCGCTAACAAACTCAATACAAGGAATTTCATAAGTTGACCTCTGTGACCTGTGACCTTTGACCTACGTACTCCAAAATCTAATCAGATCGTCTTCCTATGGTGATAAATACTATTCCCGAGTCTTAAGTTTAAATCTTAAATGGTTCTTGAGATATTGTGATAACGGTCAAACGGGACGGACGGACGTACGGACGGACGTACGGACGGACAACCCGAAAACATGATGCCTCCGGCACCACCTTTGGTGGCGGGGGCATAAAAAATAATATTTTCCTCCAAAATGCTGAACCACCCCGGCCCTTACCACTTCGGCCCGAAAGTTGTGATAACTCAAATTTTTTAATATTTGCCACTACGCCCCTTTCAAAGGGATGTGGGGGTCAGGATCCATCTTATCGCATGTATGTACTTTTATTATGGGGAAACTAGCCAATTAAAAAAAAAAAATATTTTCCTCCAAAATGCTGAACCACCCCGGCCCTTACCATTTCGGCCCAAAAGTTGTGATAACTCAAATTTTTCAATATTTGCCACTACGCCCCTTTTCAAGAGATGTGGGGGTCAGGATCCATCTAATGGCATGTATGTACATTCATTGTGGGGAAACTAGCCAATTAAAAAAAAATAATATCTTCCTCCAAAATGCTGAACCACCCCGGCCCTTACCACTTCGGCCCGAAAGTTGTGATAACTCAAATTTTTTAATATTTGCCACTACGCCCCTTTCAAAGGGATGTGGGGGTCAGGATCCATCTAATCCGATGTATATACATTCATTGTGGGGAAACTACCAAATTAAAAAAAAATAATATTTTCCTCCAAAATGCTGAACCACCCCGGCCCTTACCATTTCGGCCCGAAAGGTGTGATAATTCAAATTTTTACAATATTTACCCCTACCCCCCTGTCAAAGGGATATGGGGGTCAGGATCCATCTAATGGCATGTATATACATTCATTGTGGGGAAACTAGCCTATTTAAAAAATATATTTTCCTCCAAAATGCTGAACCACCCCGGCCCTTACCATTTCGGCCCGAAAGATGTTATAACTCAAATTTTTCAATATTTGCCACTACGCCCCTTTCAAAGGGATGTGGGGGTCAGGATCCATCTTATCGCATGTATGTACTTTTATAATGGGGAAACTAGCCAATTAAAAAAAATAATATTTTCCTCCAAAATGTTGAACCACCCCGGCCCTTACCATTTCGGCCCGAAAAGTTGTGATAATTCAAATTTTTACAATATTTGCCCCTACGCCCCTGTCAAAGGGATATGGGGGTCAGGATCCATCTAATGGCATGTATATACATTCATTGTGGGGAAACTAGCCAATTAAAATAAAAATATATTTTCCTCCAAAATGCTGAACCACCCCGGCCCTTAACATTTCGGCCCGAAAGTTGTGATAACTCAAATTTTTCAATATTTGCCACTACGCCCCTTTCAAAGGGATGTGGGGGTCAGGATCCATCTAATGGCATGTATGTACATTCACTATGGGGAAACTAGCCTAATAAAAAAAAATTAATATTTTCCTCCAAAATGCTGAACCACCCCGGCCCTTACCATTTCGGCCCGAAAGTTGTGATAACTCAAATTTTTCAATATTTGCCACTACGCCCATTTTCAAGGGATGTGGGGGTCAGGATCCATCTAATGGCATGAATGTACATTCATTGTGGGGAAACTAGCCAATTAAAAATAAATAATATTTTCCTCCAAAATGCTGAACCACCCCGGCCCTTTCCATTTCGGCCTGAAAGTTGTGATAACTCTAATTTTTTAATATTTGCCACTACGCCCCTTTCAAAGGGATATAGGGTTCAGGATCCATCTCATCGGATGTATGTACATTCATTATGGGGAAACTAGCCAATTAAAAAAAAAAAATATTTTCCTCCAAAATGCTGAACCACCCCGGCCCTTACAACTTCGGCCCGAAAAGTTGTGATAATTCAAATTTTTACAATATTTGCCCTTACCCCCCTGTCAAAGGGATATGGGGGTCAGGATCCATCTAATGGCATGTATATACATTCATTGTTGGGAAACTAGCCAATTAAAAAAATAATATTTTCCTCCAAAATGCTGAATCACCCCGGCCCTTTCCATTTCGGCCTGAAAGTTGTGATAACTCTAATTTTTTAATATTTGCCACTACGCCCCTTTCAAAGGGATATAGGGTTCAGGATCCATCTCATCGGATGTATGTACATTCATTATGGGGAAACTAGCCAATTATAAAAAAAATAATATTTTCCTCCAAAATGCTGAACCACCCCGGCCCTTACAACTTCGGCCTGAAAAGTTGTGATAATTCAAATTTTTACAATATTTGCCCCTACCCCCCTGTCAAAGGGATATGGGGGTCAGGATCCATCTAATGGCATTTATATACATTCATTGTGGGGAAACTAGCCAATTAAAAAAAAAAAATATTTTCCTCCAAAATGCTGAACCACCCCGGCCCTTACCATTTCGGCCCGAAAGTTGTGATAACTCAAATTTTTCAATATTTGCCCCAACGCCCCTTTTCAATGGATGTGGGGGTCAGGATCCATTTAATGGCATGTATATACATTCATTGTGGGGAAACTAGCCTATCAAAAAATATAATTTCTCCTCCAAAATGCTGAACCACCCCGGCCCTTACAATTTCGGCCCGAAAGTTGTGATAATTCAAAATTTTTACAATATTTGCCACTACGCCCCTTTCAAAGGAATATGGGGGTCAGGATCCATCTAATGGCATGTATGTACATTCATTGTGGGGAAACTAGCCAATTAAAAATAAATAATATTTTCCTCCAAAATGCTGAACCACCCCGGCCCTTTCCATTTCGGCCTGAAAGTTGTGATAACTCTAATTTTTTAATATTTGCCACTACGCCCCTTTCAAAGGGATATAGGGTTCAGGATCCATCTCATCGGATGTATGTACATTCATTATGGGGAAACTAGCCAATTAAAAAAAAAATAATATTTTCCTCCAAAAT